CTGGTTATGTATGTACTTCTCCAAAGGGTCTTATGAGTATTTAAAGCCTGGTTATAAGGCTTCTCCAGTCAGATCACCAAATGTACTGTACACCTCTAAAGGAACTAGTGATAGACTTTCACTCTAGTTATCATACTTGTACAGTACAGTACTGTACATACTACCTTCAAAACTCAAGTGTTCTGACACGTCAGTTTATTATGACTACAGTACTTCTGCCTTGGGCTTTGATGATACTCAAGTGCTGGTTGTAAGCTGTGCTTACCTCATCATATCTCCTAGAAATGCTGTACAGTAGTCAATGAACCTTAACCCCTTCACTACAGGGATGCCACTTTTAATTTTTATTTAACTAATGCCAGACAATTTTATTCAGCTCCTAGGCGACCCATACACAAGGGGTTAAGCATGATTCACACAAAAGGATTATGTTTTTAAGTGGGTTCAGTCTGTTGACCTATAAAGTGAATCTTTATTGTTACAGGTGATAATTGAACATCTTTCTAATGTTACAGGAGATTACTGAACATCTTTTATATATAATACAGCATATACAAATTTAAAACATGATAGTGTATCAGGAAAAAACGTTTACTCATCACATAATCAATGAGATTTAAGTATATCTTGAGGTGCATTCCACATATGATAATAAACTAATAATCACGATTCAGTTGTGTGACTTTATGAGTATCTGTGTTGTCATTATATTTACAACAGCTTATTATCATTTCCTTCATTAATGCAAAAATCACTAAGACCCACACAAAATTAACAATGATTTCTACACCAACTACAACCTTTTACATCAACTCATCTGCCCACCAGTTATTGGCTGAGATTTATGCCTCTATGAGTCTACTCACTCTCTATCCACACACACACACACACACACACTACATCCTTGACCACCGAAGGGTCAAGACGTACCTGGCGCTCCTCTGGGAGCAGCCAGGTCAACTGTTAAGTTGGCCCATACCAACTCCCTCCCCTGAACCACTCCTCCCCACCGGAATAGCAACAAGTTCTCGCCAGAAGTTACAATTTCATTTAGGAAAGGAATGGAACCAGTGTTGAACAGAGGTGAACAGTGCTTAAGTCAGTGAGAACAACTCAACAGTAACTGCCGAGTCGTACCCAAGTTAAACTTCGCACAGTGAGGTCCCAGGTACCCAGTGATAACTGCCCGTGAGACCCAACAACAACCAGCGATGTGTTAATCCATCTACGATAGGAAGGCCTGGAACCACACCTCACTCGTATAACACCATCTGTGAGGGAATTACTATACCATGTCAGGTCCCTTATAACACCATCTGTGAGGGAATCACTACACCACGTGAGTTCCCTCATAACACCATCTGTGAGGGAATTATTCATGTGAGGTCCCTCATAACACCATCTGAGAGGGAATTACTGCACCACATGAGGTCCCTCATAACACCATCTGAGGGAATTACTACACCATGTGAGGTCCCTCATAACACCATCTGTGAGGGAATTACTACACCATGTGAGGTCCCTCATAACACCATCTGTGAGGGAATTACTACACCACGTGAGGTCCCTCATAACACCATCTGTGAGGGAATTACAACACCACAGGCCCCTCATAACACCATCTGAGGAATTACTACCACGTGAGGTCCTACTACACCATGTGAGGTCCCTCAACACCCCTGTGTCCTCATAACACCATCTGTGAGAATTTGACTACACCACTGTGAGGGTTAAGGCATAACACCATCTGTGAGGGATACTACACCATCTGTGAGGGAATTACTACACCACGTGAGGTCCCTCATAACACCATCTGAGGGAATTACTACACTACGTGAGGCCCCTCATAACACCGTCTGTGAGGGAACTACACCACGTGAGGTCCCTCCTAACACCATCTGGGAGGGAGTTACTACACTACGTGTTTGCTGTTCAACACCTACATTAATCTGTATGTTCACTGTATGTTCCTTTACCTTTCTCTAATGTATATTTTCAGGCTTTAACCTTCAACATTACTCTCAGCACCATGTTTTCATTCTTTATATATAAACAATTCCTCAACTAAATATTACACTTAATCAATCCCAACCCTTAAATACACCACCTCTGACATATTCTTTTTCAATACTAACACAAACCATAATAAATTTGTTGCATCATCCATTAAACTTATCACACAGCCATAACAGCTTATTAGGACATCCATAACAGCTTACTAGGACAGCCATAACGGCTTACTAGGACAGCCATAACGGCTTACTAGGACAGCCATAACGGCTTACTAGGACAGCCATAACAGTTTACTAGGACAGCCATACCACCTTAATATGGCTTCACTTATGCCACTTTCCAATTATCTCCTTAGTCACTGTAACTACTGTACTTGAAACATATACTCTCTGTCTAATAAAGTCCAACAACACTACTGTACAGTACATCTTATTCACCCACTCATGTTCTTAATGTTCTAAATCATAAAAAAAATAGAATATCAAATCAAGAAAGAAAATGACACCTTGTTAAGAAAGCATTACAACAGTTGGTTCCTACACTGCCAGTACACTATGCTGAAGGGGTGAACCACACAGTAGAAATATCATTATAAGATACAGTACTTTATAAGCATAAGTTTTTATTGTATCATCCACTATTACACAAATGTAGGACGTTTGGGCCAGGGTGGTTAGGACCTACTCTAATCTAATCTAACCATGGCCCAGAAAAGAGAAGAAATAACATAAGAAAGAAATAATAGATTTGTGAGTGGCCAAAAAGCATCACATAAGAGTGGGGACAAGATCTTTATATCTCCCGCACTGATGCTTCCAACAGTGACAGCAGGAAGCCTGCCCACTGCCAATGAATTGAGTACCGTATTAACAGTAAATAATACCTGTAACTTAATACATGTCCTATTACCCCTAAGCCCATAACATCAATTAAATTTACATCTGTAATAATAAGGTCAGATCCCAGAGTTAACTGAGGCCCTCAAGTCTTATCCCTAATGAGATTACACTGATGAGGGAAGAGGAACAAAAAAATACCTGCACTTTAACCATTAACTCTTGACCTCCATGCACAGTTTGTATACACACTCCAAAATAGTATCTTTACAATTTTGTGTTAAAACAATATGACAAAACAGCAGAAAGATTTTGATAATCCAACCAAGACAACATGAGTTGCATTGTTCATTTTGAAATTCATCACACCCCGCCGTGAAGATACTTTTTGGGGCGTGTGTACACGCTATAACAAAAAATGCATCCAATACACGCACCAGCGATCATACACAATAACAACAGTCGGAGTATACAGTACAGTAGCTTCAACAACACAAATAACGTATTAAAAAGAACTTAGAAAAAAGAAAACCATTATAAACCTAAGTCTGCTTAACATAATTTATTCTGTATAAAATGAATTTCTACCGATAATGGTCACCGTCCCTACAGCTAATTTCCATGAAAGATGGCCGCTGTTTAAAGGTCAAATTAGGTTGTTAGGACACTGTTGGACAAAACACAAGATTCTGACAACACTCTGACATATGGACGGATGGCCAGGAGGTAACGCCAGCTTCCACTCTCTCAATCTCTCTCTTTCCCTCCCTCCAACCCTCCCTCTCTCTCTCTTATCAGCTGTTATGTCACACCCAACTTTTACAATTCTGAAGAAAGTGACTATTATTTTAAAACAACTCTACATTGTTACCTCTGGCCATAAGTGTCTTGTCTATGGCGACTAATTATTCTTACAAAGCGCAGATTACTGGGTATATGAGGGTAGGTAAAATGCTGATACTGGGAGGAGGTAAAAGAGGAGGAGGAAGAACAGGAGGTGGTAACAAATAGGAAGAGGAAGACAACAGGACGACAGAGGGCATAAACAAGAAGAGGACGAAGAAAAAGAAAAACAAAACTATAATTTCAATGTGTTCAATATCAGGTCTGGTTAGGTAATATTAAGTCAGGTCATGTCCAAACTATGCACTCATAACTACAACCACAACATCTCTTAGTGAGGATCCTCAGTCTCTCTTAACATCAGACACAAATTACAACTTATAATATTTCACTCCAATGTCTATGTTAACTACAGTAATATACAATCAAAGTAATGGTTCTTGTTATGAAGACAATGTTATAATGGTGGCATTGTTACTGCCAGGTTGTGTTATAATAGTTGTTGCTGGCAGGTTGTTATAACAGTATAGTGCTCCACCATTACAGTGTTCTTAGATACTGTACAGTGTCACTAACCTGTTACTTTTATCTGACCAATCAGTAGATACATCTTGTCACAGTCACCATACCTAAGAGAGACTCCACCATGCATCTTCCTTGTAACATGTGGATTACAGATTACAGTACACCTCCTGATCCACAGTGCTAATGTTACAGTAGACCAACTCACTTCAATTACAGTATTACATCCATTACAACTTAAAGCAAACTGATTTGAACCTTTCCTGAATAACATAGTCAGGATACAGTATAGTGATGATACAGTGTCCATCATTGGCAAAAAATAATACAGTACCTAAATAAAGTTCATGGATATCCTGTAATTTTTGTTAATGTTTTAAATTATATAGTTCCTTAAACTGCATAATGCTGACAGGATTGACTTAAGCGATATACACATGTTCAATATATGTAAATTTATATAAAAACTCAAACCTAAATAGATAAACCATATGAGAGAATTAGTACTGTTCATATCCAACTTCTAAGCAACTTTACTTAAAAGGAAAGTCTCGAATTAGATGCCCCCTTGACCACTGCCCCGAGGAACCACCTAGCACGCATGCACGAACTGATCGCTATAAGAACAGCCCAGTCCCAACCATTGTAAAAATTATCAATAACTTGTAATAAATCAGTGTATTCACTCCCAGTAAACACTGCTCCTTACACTGTCACTATGTTGAAATGAACTGTAGCTTGAGCTTTTCCCCATCTAGTTATTATATGTCTTATTTGTGTCACTTATGTTACTTGTATATTATTTGTAATTCATAACCCATTCCCCAAATATGTAACTGTATATTTTCAGCCTTCTGGCTGCCAAGCTCTTTCAATAAACCGTTAATTATTATTATTATTATTATTTTACATTATCAACAGCTGTCATTATTTGAGGTAATTCTTATGTATTTTAATCACTTAAGCTAACAGATTCTTTCTCGATTACAAAGTTGTCGTCATATAATCTTACCCCTCAATCAGCAAGATCAAACAGAAATCGCTGATCTATAAAGCGTCATTCACATCTCAGCTAAATGGTCTCGTTATCCACATTAGTACAGCCACAACACTCACATTTCTCCTCCACACAATTACCTGTATTACTGTATTCTTATCTTACATGATAAAGTTTTCTATAGGTCTCTGTCCATCACTGAAAGCCAATCACTGTTTCCCACTGCAGCAAAATATCAGAATGGGATGATGACAATCTTAGAATGGCAGTACACCCTGATACCCAAACACACACACATATCTCTCTCTCTCTTTCTTACACTCGACTCCACTAGATTCACACTATATCATTTTATACATACTGTACTCTTACTCACTCAATAATTTCATACATACTTTCTCACACCCCAGGACAAGTTGCAACTTGATACCACGAAGGTCCACTAAAAACTACTCACACACACACACACAGCACCATTCGACCAAAACATCAATCATTTTCTTGTTGCAACACCAGCCAGGTATTTCTGTGTGTAGTATTATTTCCTTTACCTTCTTTTAATCTTGTCTCTCACATCACAACAAATTTTGTACACCCATGAAAATGCCAAATGAAAGCAAGTTAAAATGACTATAGTGGGATTAACTTATTTTTTACAAGCATTATCAACAAGAGAAGGATGACTCCTGCAACCTATACAATATGTCAACACATATTGTCCAAAAAACTGTTTCATACTTGTTAGACTAATTATTTACATGGACAACTGAAGGTACAGCTATTAAATTCCACTCTTTTGTTAGAATCTTAAACTGAGGCTTCAAATGAAGAAAAATACAAAGTTTGATTTCACTAATGCCTTAGAAAAAGAAGACAATGGTCCCTACTCAAACAATAAGTAGAAGCAGACCTGTAAATGTGGTGGAAAAACTGACTCCACCTGACATAACAGGACAACTATGACAGGTTATCATAAATTTGTATAGTGGCAACACATACAGGTAACACTAATATCAGGAGCTATAAAAGCCTTACACTGACCTGACCTTCAATATACACTTTCAAGAGGGAGAGAATGTGGATTATAACTCTCTCACACACACACTTATACACTTATGACTCCATCTACTGTACATATACAACTCTTGGTACTGTAGTAAGTCACTTGGTGAACTGCTCATAATTCCATCCAAACTAAGCACCTTATTAAGAGTAGGTCTGCAACACATGCACTGTCCAGGTATTGTAGATGAGAGACACTGTCTTCTCCACACCAAGTATAAACAATTGACATATACTTGTTTGGTTATATAAGGTACTGAACTGTTCCCTCTGGTCCCTCTCTTACAGTAGCGGCTTCTTCTTCTCTCTTACTGGCTTCACTGGAGGCGTCCCAGGGCTATCTCCTATTTCCATTGCCTCAACAGCTTTCTCTACTGGTTCTGCGGAAGCCGAAGTCGAGGTTTTCTTCTTGGACTCGTGTTGGTGAATAAGAGCCTTACCTGTGTCCTTTGCTGTACGTTTTGCGATGCCCTTTACCCCTAAGGATGCAATGTTGTGTCCCGCCCAAGCAGTTTGTCCTACAGCATACAGGGTGTTGTCAGCGAGGGCCCCGGCATCTTCACCATACCTGTCAAGGATACAGACCAGTTGGTATCCTTCACTACCTCAGTCACTAAAGTTTTCTTATTATTTAAACTAAATAATACTTATTATAAAACTTGCATTTATTTCACCAAATTTAATATTAATTAATAATTTTTCAATCTGTTACAAAACAATTAAGCATATAAGCCTTCAACTGTAATATTTTTAGTGTATAGCCAAAAGATTTAACACTGTAGTGCTGAGGATAAGAAAGAAAAACTAGCCAAATGAGAGCACTAGTGATTAGTACTCTCAGAAGACAATGAGAGAAACTAACCAAGATCTTTCAACTTGTACATGTTACATAATCCTGTACCAGCCCAGAAGACACAATTCAGGATAAGTTTGGTTAGTAAATACAATTGACTCCAAATATTGGGATCTTTGTGTAATTCTTAAGTCAATGTTTAAATAGTAATCTTCTGAAAAATCAGTTAATTGTTCCAAAAAGATTAAGACAACCAGGCAGTGCTTGAGGTGCTTCCATCATCATTTTTATAATTTTATGGCCATTTTCCACACCTGCAAGGATTCCCAGTCAATGATGTCATGTCCAGCTTTCACTTCTCATACTGTACTGTAGTCGAGTTTTTACTGAATGATGCCTCACAGTACAGTCTAATGTATTATCTATTTACCATCACATTTTCTTTCACTTCATTATCTTTTATAACCCCCAAAAAAAGGAGGGTAAATAAAATAGTACAAATCCTTTTAGCAAACATGGCAAGACGTCTGCCATAAACAGGATTATTCTACCCTTTAAAAGTGACACTAATAATGGGTGTAATAAAGGAATAGAGGATATATGTTGAAGAAAATAAGTGAATACTGAAAGAAATAAAGATGCACTAAGGATAAAAGTTGTAAGGAACCAAGAAGGATCAACCGTTATTAAGATTTTGCCACCGTGTTAAGTCAAATGGTCTTCTGGACACTTCCTTAACACCTCAACACACAGATACAGGTAGAGGAATGTGGAATAAATAATCACTAAACTTATCCAAGGAAAATAGTGAGACGTAAAGAAATGGCTAGGATTCCAGTCTTTCTAGTCAACCCCTTTGGTAGGTTCCTAGATAAGGCGTCACACTGAGGGAGGGAAGTGAGAGTGAAGCCCTACTTGTGCGCGACCACTTTGACCGTGTTATCGGTAATATTGGTGGCAAGGGTGGCTGCCGCTGTCTCTAGACTCAAGTAGATGGTGGAGGCTCCCCGCAACGCTCCTGACGCTACCTCCAACACTCCGTCCATCTGTTGATTAATACGACACACAAATCACTAATTATATTTCTGACCACCATAAGCCTGCAAGTTAAAAAAAAAGACAATATAAAAAAAATAAATAAAATAAAAGTATATACTGGTAAGCATCCAATCCAGAATTTACAGATGTAACAGAAGATGTCAGTAAATGGCTTGTTAGCTTAACACACCAGTAGCTATAGTACCCAGCTATTACATACTTTTACTTGCTAACACAAATGTCAATACAAATTAGTATACTGTATATTGTAAAAAAAAAAAATCCTCAAAACAAGGCTGTTAATAAGTTTGACACACACACACTATGTCTTACTGGTACAGTACTAGCCAACCAAAGGCTGACATCATATGCTGTTGCATCACTATCTGTTGAATTGGCATTTTGCTTGTACAGTATAAAGTATTTTGTCATTCCTCTTGTAGATCTCTGACATAAAGGCGAGACAACCACGGGACAGTATAGTAAACCAATGACACTGTACTATACTATACGAACAATAATAAAGTATACAAAAGTATATAATTCAGTTTAAGTAAGAGGAGATAATAACATAATGATGATCTGTATGTGTGTATAAGAGAGAGAGAGAGAACCTTTAATAATACTGAACAAACAGCAGATTCTAAAAGCAGCCACTTTATATATATACAAAAACATCAACAGCTGTTATAATTTTGTCAGGGATGTTAATATAAAACCTATTATGTTAAGTCTATATACATAATCAAAAACCCACAAAAATATGAACAGGAAACAGTCTATAATGCTGCTGCACCGGTCACTCACGTTAGCACTGGCTTCCTTTTCCTTCTGCCCGGTCAAGTGACTGATGGCACGAGTCCCCTGCTTCTGTAAGTGTGGAGCCAGAGTCCTGCCCAGGGCCATCGTCGCCTTCCCAACATTACTTACTGTCGGGAGTAAATGTGAAATTGTATATGGTACCTTAATACTTTGTTGATTGTTATTCTGTACTGTACCTATCTTCTGTGGACCCTTATACAGTAAGACCTCTATTTAACAGACTACTGTATCCGTTATATTGAGCGTCTGTTGGATGTGAGACCTCCATCTAACGAATTACAGTATACGTAACGGTATAGAGATTAAGGTCCATTATATTGAGGGTCCATTATATGTGAAACTTAACCACATATATTAGATAACAATATGAAAAAAGGATTTTATTTAAATGTAATAAAGAAACTAACATGAAGAAAGGTTTAATATATGAAGACAAGAGTAACAAACACTAAGTCACTTACAGAGGAAGCCGCTGATTTTCACCGCTTTGCTGGACACATTTCTCGCCACTTTGGCCGATGTGTGCCACTTGGGATCAATTTCTTTCTTCTGTTCTACCGGTTGAACGTAGCCTTTTAAACTCTCGGAGCCATAACTTATCAGCTCACCAAGTTTCTCAGCACCCCACACAACGCCCTTGGACAATGTCTCCGCTCCTGGAAGAGAATAAACCAATGGTGAAGACTTTTGGGAACTCCACCACAGGTGTCACATGAGCTAATGCTCTGAGTGAGGTTGTAGATAATTTAAAGTGAAATAATTTTGTATAAAGTATCAATAAGTTGACACCCAACCCCTCCACTAAGTATAGTATATACGCTGAGGTATTATGATGCATTTTGAGTCAATGTCGAGATTAAGAATTCATTTGTCATATTAATTAGGGACATGACCAATGTATGTGTAGATAAATATAACTGTTGCCTTAGTCCTTTACTTCCCTATGAGCTGGTACACCAACTAAACATTCATATTCAATTTTAATACAAAAAACGACCAAATACCTCACCAACCTGTCACCTTAGTATCTTGGCTGTATCATTCAATAGTTTATTCCAAGTAGAAAACATACCAAATAAAAAATAGAGCAAGAGTAACTGGAGTAATTAAGACAGGTACTAAGGTAATCTGGGTATTAACCAAGATCCTCACTACCAAACATCACAGGTTTTCCAGACTCTGGTTTCCTCCTGCACTAACACTGGATAGACCAACTGCCCGAATGGCTAGTTGGCTGGTAACAAATACCCTTACATAGACAAAGTGAAGAAGAGAGAAGAAATATAACGCCAACATCTACTAAACAACATCAGAGCATCTAACATTCATTACCACAACATTTTAACAAGGAAATAATAACTCATAATGCACAGTCAGTCCATCAACACACCACCTATTACACTAACCAATGGTACAGCAAAATCACTTTATATTTAAGTAAACTTCACTAATATTACTATTCTTTATTAATTATATTTTGCAATTAGGTCAAGACTATTAAAGAACAGAAGTACAGTTCAGGTAAAGTACAATAAATAAAAAGGAAAAATAACTATTAGCATGCAGTTATAGGAGTAACATTACAATAGCCCAAGGAAAGTTACACACAAGGAGAGGGAAGCAGTTTATATCTCTACATCAACTGTATCTACCCATTAACCCTTATCCGGCATCCACAACTTTGACACCGGCGATGATGACGATGTCTACCACTTAAGGGTCAATCTGGCCATATAAGCTGATGGTTACCTCATACTCTCTGCCTTCTAAACACTATAAACAGTATGGTCCTTCCTCTACCAGCAAGGTTTTAGGTAATTGGTAAAGAAACTGAAATTACCTACAGACAGACAGGCTGAACCCCATTAAACTTACTTTACTGAGGTATTTTAGAAGCAGTAGTTAAAGCGCTTCCTCTATCACAATTTTACTGGACAGATATCTAATAATTATCAACAATAATTTATTCCTATTTAAAAGGATTACAACTGCAATGGTCTCCTCAATAGCCTTTAACTACACCACTTCACAACCAGAGAGGCAACACACACACAGGAGGAAAGGCTAGAGTGTCAAGGATTACTACAGGGGTCACCAGCTAAAGCATGCATAAGTACAGTGTTTGTTTCAGCCACCCACGACCCAACCACAATACATAGTCTAAATTTTCCACACAGGACAAACTGCACCATGTGGTGACCAATGGATGATACACATACATTTCCTTATTCTTTCTCTATTTTCAATTTAGTACCATACATGTGCAGGATAATTTTTTTTTATTTCAGAACCCTAAGTGATTATTATATTTTAGGACGAGCAATAAACAGGAGCCTAAAAATCCGTTGGAATAAAGTCTGATCATTGTGAAAATATGACCAGGGACTGTTATTTTTAAGTTCCTGTTTATTGCACAACCTAAACTATAATAAGCACTTAGGGTTCTCAAATAAAAAAAACTTACCCTGTTTTATATTACTGCTTTTTGTACCAATCTATTTCCATAAAAGTCTATAGTTACAGTGAAACCTCAATATAAATATCTATAATTACAGTGCAACCTCCATATAAGTCTACAGTTACAGTGAAACCTCCATATAAAACTCTATAGTTACAGTGAAACCTCCATATAAAAATCTATAGTTACAGTGAAACATCCACACAAGTCTATAGTTACAGTGAAACCTCAATATAAATATCTATAATTACAGTGCAACCTCCATATAAGTCTACAGTTACAGTGAAACCTCCATATAAAACTCTAGTTACAGTGAAACCTCCATATAAAAATCTATAGTTACAGTGAAACCTCCATATAACGGACTTCTCTCTCCATAAAATGCGTTAGATGGGGTTTCACATCTAACAGAGCCTCGATATATAACGGACTTTCATCTCCATACAGTCCATTAAATAAAGGTTTCCTATGTATGTTTAAGTCTAATTCTCACACCATTATAGTTATTGTATCATTATTGTTGTGTCTTAACTTAGATATACCTGTACTGTATATGTGTTCTTAAATTCCCAGTTATGTGAAGAGAAAAATAATGTTTAACCCTTTGAATCCTGGAGGGTTAAATCATCATCCTCAAAGAGTTAAATCATCATCATCAAAGGGTTAAACCATCATCATCAAAGGGTTAAATCATTATCTTCAGAGTTAAACCTTTGAGAAATTGGACCCAAAGAAAGGGGTAACTTGGGGAGTGAAGACAGTGGATGAAGGGAAGCAGAGGCAGATTAAATAATTCATAATTATCCAGAAAAACAGACCAATAGAAACAAACACCCAAGAAATGCATTTGAGACACACAAAATGAGTCATCAATGTATATTATGTGCACTGCATGCTTGTCTCAGAAAAAAAAACAGCCTTTATTGTTTGTATGAAGATGGGCATTGTAACACTTTGCTGACACTATCACTTCTTGAGCTGAAGCAAGTGTATGCATTGTTGTTACTGGAGCTAAGTGCAGTACAGCAGAGTAAGTGATGTAACAAGTCACCCTGAGATCATTTCACATTACTGCTGTTCACCTGCCATTGTTGTCTGTTCCTCGACTCCCAACTGAATACAACAAGTTAGCTAATGACAGTACTGTACCACATCTTCAAGTGTTAATAGCTCACCAGTAACACTTTAAGTTGTTCCTTGAATCATAACTGAGAAGAACAAGTTAGCTAATGATATCACAACATCTTTAAGTGTTAACAGATTAACACTAACACTTTAAGTTATCCTAAACACTAAATGCCACTTCTGTTATCACACAGGTAAGGTGGCAGTCACTTATTAGAAATAATGATGTATTGAGAGGACAAGTAATACTTTAGTATACAAGTCAGTTATCTCTTATATACAGTACAAAAAAGTAGTGTTACAAGACTTAACTTCCACATTATATATGAGCATCAACACAGAGAGAGTACAGTAAATGCTTATGGTTGTATTCACATAGTGCATTTTCTCAGCTGAGAAAAGATGCCCCGCCCTCTCCTCAAGAGTTACAGCTGATTGGCTGTTGCAAATCTGTCCGATTTTGTCCTGAAGTAATGATGTATTTCTGAATGAGTTTATTCATAATCTTTGGGATGACCGTTTCTGACGAGAACGATATTTAGCTAAATTATATAAAGATAAACACATTCAATATTTCAAACATAAGCACGTAGGAAGTTTATCATTAGTATTATACAGTACATGAATTAACTGTTAAACTCTGGTAGCAAATTCACGCTTTCGGAGGATGCATTTAATACATACTTATTTTTACCCACAATAAGGCATACTAAGACTAATTACATATCAGTAATACTACATTATGCAAAAACTAACATTTTTAAAGATCAGAATCACATTGAAATATTACACGACCGTTAGCAGAGGCGGGAAATATGAAGTTGTTCGCAGTCATAATGTAGTATTACTAATGCATAATTAGTCTTAGTATGCCTTATTGTGGGTAAAAATAAGTACCTGTACCGTATATATTAAATGCATCCTCCGAAAGCGTGAATTTGCTACCAGAGTTCAACAGTTAATTCATGTACAGTACTGTATAATACTTCTGATAAATTTCCTACGTGTTTATGTTTGAAATAATGAATGTGTGTATCATTATATAATTTAGCTAAATATCGTTCTCGTCAGAAACGGTCATCCCAACGATTATGAATAAACTCATTTAGAAATACATCATTACTTCAGGACAAAATCGGACAGATTTGCAACAGCCAATCAGCTGTAACTCTTGAGGAGGGGGCGGGGCATCTTTTCTCAGCTGAGAAAAAATGCGCTATAGTTAATCTGCTATGCTATTAGTCAAGTTGTTATTTGGCTTCAGTTAAAAGCACAATGCATTATCCTGTGACTTTAAACCCCCAGAGAGTTATGCTACACATCCTGCACTAGTGATTTTGCTGTTCCTTCAGGTACCTGAAACCAAACCTGCTGCAATCCGTTGTGAGGTGGACTGCTGGATGATCCTCTTCTGCTCTTCGGAGTCCACGCCCGGGGGAACCACCTGCTCTTGGTACGACGTCATCTGCATCAGGATCTGCTCGAAAAATTCCTTCTTTTCCTTGTCGACCGTGTCTGGGATGATGACCCCAACGCTGGACCCTGTTAAGTGAGATGTAAGCTGAGGATACTTTGGAACACAAGCATAGAAAATGGTAGTAAAACATTGATGATGATGGCCATTGGCCATGGCTCTTCCTTGGAATATATTAAAATTTCAGGAAAAATTATCATTGCTGAATAATTGAGGTCAAATTGCTGCAGAGTGGACTACAACAACTGAAGGAACAAGGAAACTTTCATACTGAACAAGAAGTTACAGGCACACATAGAGCACCTCACCTGGCACACTGTTGCCAGCATCTGGGAATATGTAAGCACCATAGAAGGAGTGGAGTACAGGACTCTGGGCAGGGATCAGCGGATAACTCCATTCACCAACTTGGATGAATCCCCGAGCAGCGGTGGCGGCTGTAGCACTGCCAATGGCCTCTGTTGACACGTGGGTCGTATGTTAGGATCAGAAATGTAACAACAGAAAATCAGTTGATTTTAATTACTAAGGGATGTCATCTTCCTTGACCTGATCAAAAGAGATGTTACAAGGACAATCTTTCTATCATAGTAATAATAAATCACCAATGTATACTGTACTGCTTTTCACAAACAAAATAAAACAAGTAACATTATTCTGGGATCAGTAATACTAAAACCACATTTTGTTTACTGTATCAATTCTGAAACTAGCAAGACAATATATTATCCAGAGGTGGATTTAGACAACCGTGAAATAAGAACTGTACTGTGAGGGAGGAGGAGTATGGAGGACCTCCCAGGTCCTTAAATATAACATTCACTTGAGCCAATCTAATACAATTTGAACTAAAGGATTAAGTGCAACCTATTTATTTAATGTATTTAGTTACACAAATTTAGTTTACTTGAAAGCTTACATATACTTCCAAGGTGACTGCATAATAAGCTTCTCCAGTTGTTCTCCATGACTGGTGAGTCAGAATGTGTTGAGCTATCTTCCTCTGAACAAAACTCTCTGAATAACTAATGGACATTCCTCACACCTTCAAGGTCTCCATCCTACTATAAACTATAGAGATGAGTATGTTAAGACTATAACTGTTGGAGGTCAATTTAGGATAAGGGCCCAGCATCTGTCTTGGCTTATCAATGTATATGAGGACAGTAACACCACACGACACTATCTGGATCATCATGGATGAGATGACACCTTGTGCATCCTATCCATATCAGTATACGGTCAGGTCATGAACTTCAACATGCTTTATATTTCTTATGGGCCAAAGAGAGGAAGTGGCCATACAGCCACAATGTGATGCTGCCTAGATCCAGTAGATAACACAGTACTCACCTTGAACAGTGAACACGGCAAGGAAGGACGGATAAGAGGGACTTGTGACTCCCCCATCAGGCTGGATAAAGAAGATCTGAACACCATTCTCTATTTGAAAAATCATCTCCCCCTGTTGGGGTGACATGACTGGAGTTACAGTTGAGGTGTCAGCAATCTCTGCAAAGGCTGCTTCCTGCACCTACAAAACACAATTAACTCGTGTGAAAACAAAAGAAAAACTAATAAAAAGACCCAAAAAATCCTATATCGGTATATAAAACTGCATTGTCTTGTACCAAAACTGTCAATCTACACTAAGCCACCTTATCTTACCTCTCTCCAGCACATGATAAATAACTTTACTGAGATTAATCTACAGCAATGAGTTTGTTTACTAATATATGATGCACTACCATGTGTGTAGTCACAAACAAGCATCCTGTTGCCTCATCTAATGCTCCACGAACCAATGAGATTCACTCATGAATATTGCATCAGTGTCTATTGCTTCCGGTTCATGAGTCTGAATATCAGGGTTCATGAAGCAGCAGTAGGGGCAACAGGACTGTACCTCTGCAACACTCTCTCTATGACTACAGTACAACAACATGGGTCAACAAATACTGTACTCAGGTTTCTCCCAGTTGTGATCCTCAAGTAACCCAAATAACAGCTGATCAATACTGGCAGACAGACAATGTGTACTTTCAGGCTCCCCTTCTGTGCATCTCTCTCATTGTTACCAGTACCTGCCTCAGAACCAACCCAGGAGATCCGCACCACAGATGACAAGCTTGACAACAGTACTGTAGAGATTAAGCTGTGAGTCTAGTAAGTACAGAACAGTAAAGTATAGACCAGATGGGCCAACATAGATGCTTAACTACATAACATTACATAGCTGACTATGGTGACTTAATACTTGATGAATGTAAGAAAAATGTATTAGCACTGATGAGACTGACCTGAGGGTCGAAGGCATTGAGGCGAGGGTAAGAAACATTTCCTGATGATCCAGCGCTGTTGTTGCCCGATTTATCTTGATAAAATATTTTGAACATTAATTTCTTAACAAAAACCAAACCTACAATATATAATCATGACCTCATTAGCTAGTAAGTATAAAATGAAGTATAATACAGTGGTCCCTCGGTTAACGAGCGCCTCGTTTAACGAGATTTCGGTTAACGATTTACCTTCCATAAGATTCTTAACTTCGGTTAACAAGCAATCCCTCGATTAACGAGTTTTTTACGAGCCGACTTCAACATGTTTTTGCTTGCATTTGGCGGTCCACCAGCTGTAGTATTAGTCCGCCAATACAGTAATCGGTTTTAGGGCTTAAATTCCTTACTATTTTAGTAAATATCAAGAAGTTTATACTATTCAATAATTTTAAAAGTTTAATATTAACTTTTTTAGTCATTTTAACAATTATTGAACATAATTGAAGGTAAAGAAACTAGTTTCTGGCGTGCCATCCAGCCTGTTAACACACCAAACAGGCGTTAGTCTCTCTCTGTTTTCAGTGGAGGTAACATCTTGCTTGAGACTCTCTTCAACTAAACGCTTTTTTCTGTGTTTCCAAGCAAATTATTGGTCATTTTGAAATATATTTTACATATTGACAATATATAATGCAGTGCAGTGTTGATTTAAAGAAAATAATCTTGAAATACACCAAGAGAACTAAAATTTTATGGGTGAAATGGTGCCATGGGGTGACTTCTCTTCCACCCCAATGCCTTCTCTTCTTCCTTCTCCTCCACCCCCATTCTAATTCCCATCATCATCATCCAGGAGCCTTCTACATACACACCTCAAAGTAAGTGTACTTTTCTACCTTTTTTGTTGAATTTAGGCAATTTTCGTTGAGCTGGAACCAATTACCCAAAAACCCATTGAAACAATGGTTTCCGTTAATGAGTTTTTCGGTTAACGAGCAACCTGATGGAACGGATTGTGCTCGTTAACCGAGGGACCACTGTAATGCATATAAACCGAGTGATAATGTTAAAGAAACATCAAATTTAACATATTTTCATCATATCCTGTAGTGGAAAAATACAAATCTGACCCGTGAACATAACAGAAATTAAAAAATAAAATAAAAATCCTGTAAAAAATACTATGCCTTAAGAATTTCCTTTTTTCTCTCCCTGAGTCTCTGGTCTAATATAATACAGCACTGATATGGTAAAAGTTCTCTCTCTCTCTTGTCCTGTGGCTCTTAAGTTTGTATAGTGGTATTGAGTTACCTTCATCCAGGGACCTGAGGTAATCATCATAAGAGGGGGGAGCATCCTCCACCTGGGGGGCCATGGCAGCACCCGGGGCACCCACAGTCTGGACATCTGTGAAGTGACTCAGCACCTCCTTCCTGTAACATGAAGAAGATTACAGTAGTCACTGATAAAGTAATTCACCTGCAGTTCAGTTCATAATGGTGTAACATAACAAGTGTAGGAATATATCCACCAGTCATCAAGAACTTATATAGCTACTGCAGTGCAATAGTCTTATTAAACCCTTTGAGTCCTGGAGGGTTAAATGATTTTCAAAAGGATAAACTATTTTCCTCAAAGGATTAAAACATAGTCCTCAAAGGGTAAAGACACAATCATGCCTTACCTCGTGCATCTCATCTTGTGCTGCATCGCAGTATATTGTTGTATTTTCTCTGCATTGCTGTTGAAGGCTTCCACCTTTATTGAGAGAGCCTTGTCAACCACTGTGAGTCCCTTCTGCAGCACAGCAGCCGCCTATTTTGGGGGTAAAAATCAATGAGACAAACAGAAGGTCCACGACATATTGGTTTAGGAGTTCTGAAATAAAAAATAAGTCATAGATCAACTGACCTGTCCCCTATAAAAACACCTGGGTGATGAGTGACACACAGTCAGCATGTCCACAAAGACAGATATTTTCCTGTTTTCTAATATTTCATAATATATTTTCGATCACATGAAGGAACATTGTTACATTTTTGCTATGATAACACTGTACTGCCAGGAGTAACTGATGCTGCTCATTCTACTACAATGCCTCCACTAGTTCAGTAAAAACCTAAAATAACTTTACCTATCCATGGTTTCATTGCCTCCAAAATAAAGACATTATCATCTAAATTTAATAAATATAACACAGAATTAATATTCCGGGGACAAAATGTCCGCCCACCTGACAGTCACAACACCAACCTGAGTATTAAGACCTTGTGTCACCAGTACAATGCCATGGTCAATCAGCCTGTAGGCCTCCTTGTATGTGTTCTCAAACTCCTCCTCTGGTGTGGCTGCATCCGTCGATGATGACAAGTCGGAGGGTGGAGGTGGCCGACCTGGCGCTGGCTTCTTTGGTTTTTCTGAACTCATCTAAAAAAGAAAAAGGCTGAATAAATGTTATACTAACTACCTGGTCTGGTCTATCCATTATAGGGTCTGGTATGGTATCGTCGTTGAGGTTTTGGTTTTAATAATACAAAATTGAGACCACCTGAAGATTAACCCCCAAGTTATTTCACCTGATGATTATGTGTTAGTGGTACCTGAGGGGAGGGGCTAGGTTAGAGTAAGATAGGATAGGTTACACAAGGTTAGGTTAGGTTAGGTTAGTATTAGGATAGTTAACAATCAAATAAAATAAACTGGGCTAATCCTCAGGTGTTCTGGTAGAGGGCCAGCTCAGCCTACATCATGGGAGGAAGAAAAGATAAGAGTAACAAAGAATAAATGACACATACTGTAGTGAGAGTGTGGCCGGGAGGATCATTTGTACTGGGACCTACTAAGAGAGAAGCTTCCAGGGTACTGAGGAGCTGCTGTAGATAAAATTTACATATAAAAAAAATCTTCTCATAAGAATTTCCTGTCAGTCCCATGATACACTTCTGGAGGTAGACTTGCTCCAAAAAAAGTACCTTTGTGATTTTGTAAGACAATATGACACAACGGATGGAGGATTTTGACAAACCTACCGAGGCAACAGGAGTCGAGGTGTTCATTTTTAAATTCATTGGACCTCTTCATAAAGATATATTTTGCAGTGTGGAGTGAATTACCTACATCTTATCACCAGGATTAGTTTCTTACATCACAAGGAAATTACCTAACAAGACCAACACCTTTTCATAAACTGTGAATGATTCTCACGTGGGTATCAACACAGTGCGGCAGCTATAGTAAATGGGGGTTTAAGAAGTTGTTTATATACAGTACTGGTACCTATGTGGTAAAGTAATGAGAACTTGTACGATGATCTGGCTATTATTCCACAAACACCAGTTTACGAGAACATAATTATCCCACACAACTGTACTTCCTCATAAAGATCGCCTGTGGCTGTCCTCCTCAAGTGGATGGAGTACAATGACCAGGTTATGTTATGTAAGGTTAGGGTCTTTTAGTTACTCTTTCCCTCTGCGTTGAAGCCTTGCAGGTGGGGTCAGGATTAGGAGGGTAAGAAGGGCTATAACTTAATAATTATACATTTCCACACACTTTCAGTGCTACTATAGCATGTGGTCTACAAAGTTATCTTTAGTCTAAACTAACCTAACCTGATCCAACCTAACCTTACCTGACCTGACCTAATCTTACCTAATCTGACCTAAGCTAACTTAACCTAAATGTCCTGTAGATTGCACACTTTAGTAGCACCATACTTTCAATATCATCATTGTACTGTACTCATCATAAAATAACTACATTATATTGTTTTTCACGCCTAAATCATACGCCAATATTTGAGGAATAACTACCGATGATTTTACCGACTAAACATCTACCTAGCCACCAGTAATAAATAAATCCTCAATAGGAGTTGTTAATGCTTCATACATAAGATTACTGCACCACCCCATGACACTGCTCACACCAAGACACTGCCTGGTCACTCTCTTACCACTACTGCTCTCCTCTCAGCCTGTCCTTAGCTTACCCCATTTACTACAGTATTTACCGCTGTTTGTCTATGTATATGATGAACCAATGATCATCTTGTTAGATGATTTTACACGTTAAATATCTATCATCTATCTGTCTGTCTGTATGTCTATCATTCTCTCTTTCTGTCTGTACCGTATGTCTATCATTCTCTGTCTGTCTGTATGTCTATCATTCTCTCTTTCTGTCTGTACCGTATGTCTATCATTCTCTGTCTGTCTGTATGTCTATCATTCTCTCTTTCTGTCTGTACCGTATGTCTATCATTCTCTGTCTGTCTGTATGTCTATCATTCTATGTCTGTCTCAATCTTTCTATCTGTCTATCTTTCTACCTATCCCAGGGGCACACCCAGAAATTGATTAGGGAGGGGCGGTTCCAAATTACTGAGAAGTCTGGCGAGCGTAGTGTGCCCTTTCAGCTGGGGGGTCCGGAATTTTTTTTTAAATCTGACCAATATTTGACGCCATTTGCATTGAATCTTATGAAATAATCTGAGGTTGAAGATGGTGTAATTTAGCATCCTAATCTTTGTATATAGACTTATATTACAGGATAATAGAAGTCATAATTTTTTTTTTAAATATTTGTATTATAGCTAACTATAACAGTAATAATATACCAGCACGAGACTGATATGACAACTTTCCTTTTCGAGAAAAAACGATTGATAGTTGTTTGCTGACTGGTAGACATAGCATTGTTGAAGGCTGTGGCATCCAAAGTAGATGTAACTACACCAAAAACTACATGTGAAGTGAGGACGAGAGAAGTGGGAACATGTTCCCTGACTCAGCATGCTCGATTTCCAATGGCGTATTATCGCACGATACAGTTATTTGAAGCACACTTGCGAAATCATCAAATGTGTGAAAGTGGATGGAAAAATAATTTATAAATATGTAAAATCTATAGAAAATGTACAATGTAGATGAGAAAATGAAAAAAACAAAACATTAAATCTCAATATTTCACACTGTCTGGCAGTGCTGTATATTAAGTGCATTCAGGTGCATGGGAATGGCAGAGGTGGTGGAAGTTACCGTGGCGTGGGGTGAGGTTGACCCAACCTTCGTGTTACTAAGGTGTCGCCAGGTCAGGTATGGGTTGGCCGCACCATGCAGTACCTGGAGGGGGGGTTTCCGGGCAACCAGGAAACCCCCCTGGGTGTGCCCCTGTATCTATCTCTACTATTTTAAAATTCTATCTATTTATCATTATATCTCTCTATCTACCATTTTATGTCTGTTTATCAATCTATGGTTAATATATAGGACTAACCAGCGGACAAGTTATTTGTATAACTGTTTATTTTCTTATTTTATTTTCATCAGTGAGTTCTGATATGGTAATCATTTATTGTGCAAATGTTCCGTTTTGTAGATAATTAGGCACCTAGGCACGCACTAATTTGCCTTCCCGGCGGTAACAAGGCCACGCTCTGCTGCGATGCTTTTCCCCTTGCCTGAGGCAGTTTCATTTTCAGCATGACGTGTGAAGCTTGTCGCCTGTCTTATATGGACGTAATTTGCGTATTTAGGGATAATGACAACGAGACCCTTCAATTGTTCAAATAGAGACTGTCCACACTGCGGGAATCCCTGTGCTTTCAGACTGGAAAGAAATTTGTTCATCAGTTCCTCAACGCCGTGGCTCGACGTTTCCCACCATCACAATAAATCACTCCGCCGCCCGAGCAGCAGAAGCGCCGATGCGGCCACATGATCTCATGTCCAGAAAAAGGGTAATATTACAGTAAACAGCAACAACAGAATTCTGGAAATTCACTACACTCAATCGATAGAACTATTTTTATGATAATTTTCTTATATTACATTAGGTTAGGTTAGGTAACACTTTTTTTTTATCAGATTCTTTGGTTGGTGTAATCTGCAATTTTACCAGAAAAGGCCTCAAATTACACCATGTCTATATGAAATTCTTTCTACTTTTTACTTACTGTTATGCTCTTCACCACTGATCGGCTCGTTAGCCACTTGGACGATCGGATACGTCTCTGTTATGCACTGTTGGCAAGTACTGGGCATGCACTGTTTAATATACCGGAGGGTCAGGTAAGGAAGTTAGGTAAGGTTAGGTTGGTTTGTTTGGCTAGGTTGGTTAGGTCTGTTTTTCATACCCACAAAGGTTAAGTTACGTTTATTTTAGAAATAATCATTTTTAACACATTTGCACACACTACAACAGTGTCCACTGTAAAAAAAAGTGGAAATCCGAGGTTTTTAAAATAGTTTCCTATCAATTTCGGTCGCGGGTTAGTCATGAATAATTACCCAATCTATCTATTTGTACTATTAACATCTGACCCTAGAGCTAACGAGCTACCATGGGGGGCCCTGGGTGTGTCTCGACCTATCGTGTCACTCTAACAACTCCTGTGTGTCTGACTTACCTTTAGTTATCACAGGAACAGTTGTGGACGCCGTCAGTCACCAGTTGAGGCGAGGAGGAGAGTATTAGTGTGAGTCAAGTTATCCTCCCGGTCACCTCACTGTCACGAGCTTCCCTCACAACAACACCTCTGACGTCATCACTACTCCTACGGGTGCTGACGTCATCACTACTCCTACGGGTGCTGACGTCATCACTCTCCTGAGCCGCGTTATTAGTTATGATGTTCTCAATCAACCATCAGCGTTCACAACAAAAATAAATATTTCCTTTTTATTTATATACAAGATTTATAACCAAAACTATCTTTTACTTATTGATATTATTTATATGTTACTTTATTAACCATAATTTTTTACAGTATAAATTATTAGCTTTACTTATTAAAAATATAAAACAAATATGAACTTAAGATATTTACTTCATGACGTCATCCTCCTCTCATGTTGTTCCTCCAATCAGGAATTCAGGAAGACCAGCACTAAGTGAAAGAAACTGCTGTACTTACTAAATCAAGAGAATTCTCCCTTATTTAAGCATTAAAACCCACGAACTATAATCCCGGATATACTTTTTGAGTGATGTATCTTCAGATCAATTAATCAGAATACCGCTCCTTATACATGTATTACCTGAGGGTTGGCGACATCAGTCTTCCACTCTAAATGTTCTCAGGCTATTTTTACCAATCCTTTAATGTTTTACATCTCTTTGGAGACAAAGTTTTAATTTCAGTCATCCATCCCAGTCTCTGCCTTCCCCTGGCCCTCCTACCCTCAACTTTGCCCATTAATTTTCTGTTATTATCCCCTCATCTAATATACTAGAGGAATAGCCGTGTGTCTGTCTGTCTGTCTGTGTGTCAGTTCTGGGCAGCCGAAACGGCACAATCGTTTTTCATCAAACTTGGTGGAAAAATCGCAAAAAATTCGTAGAGTGGAACAAACCTGGTCCCATGTCGATGGTTTCTTTAGGAAGGCATTAATTAACTATTTTATTTGCGATGGAAAACGATGCAAGTCTACGGACTTGGCGCCCCCTCATCCGCTGTACGCTGGCCAAGCAGCGCTCTAACTGTCACCAGGCACTGAGGGCCGCGGCCGCTTGTCTTAGTAATAAGACAAAAGTACCTCATTTTTTCTGTAAATTTCAAGTACTTCTCTTAAAGTTTTTGCTAATCTTAGTACATAAAATATTAACCTACCATCCTTAACCTACCATAAATTAACCTGAAATAACACTAATCTAAGATAGTATTAACCTGAAATAACATTAACCTGACATAATATTAACCTAGAAAAATTAATCTAACCTAACCTTAACCTACCCAGACCTCGCATGCTTCAAGACCTAAATACAGATCTTCACAATAAACACAAATTGCAGTATGAATAATTTACTATCTATCTGTATATCTATTTATCTATCTACCAAACCTGAGAGGGGCCGCACCTCGTGACGCCATAACCCAACATTAGTGTAAACTGTATAATTGAGAGAGAAATGTGGATAAGTGGAAAAGGGAGTGGTGAGGCATTTACTGGTTATGTGCTGAGAGAGAGAGAGAGAGAGAGAGAGAGAGAGAAAGAAAGAGAGAGAGAGAGAGAGAGAGAGTCTACTACAGCCGGACCTTCGGAAATTTGTTAAGGTTTCAGGTGACGAATAAAAGTTAGATTATTTTAGCAGGTGTTAGTTCATATGTTTGATTTATGTGTTTTACATTGAATTTAGTTAAGAATGAGGGTCAATTTATAGCAGAAGACATAACTCGATATGCAAATTTTTTGGTGTTTCTATTACTTTTACTTTTTTTTACTTTTATCCTCTTCGCCACTGATCGGCTCGCTAGCCGCCCGGGCGATCGGTCACGTCTCATTACTTTTACTTTTTTTTACTTTTATCCTCTTCGCCACTGATCGGCTCGCTAGCCGCCCGGGCGATCGGTCACGTCTCTGTCACACACTGTTGGCAAGTACTGGGCATGCACCGGCTCCTGAATGTACCTGAACCTGCTCCAGTGTTGGTCAAGTCTTGTCTTGAAAGAGCTCACACTCGGTGCCGTCACAACACTCTCTGGTAGATTTTTCCAAGAGTTTACAACTCTCACTCCGAAAAAGTTTGCCTTCACGGTTTTCTGGACTTGCGGCTTCTTCAATCTTGAGCTGTGACCCCTTGTGGGGTGAGCGTCCGCCAGCTCCAAGTAAGGACACTCAACTGAGTAGTGCCCCCTGAGATGCTTATACACCTCAACTAGGTCACCCCTTGCCCGTCTGTAGTATAAGCTAGGCAAGTTCAGGCTCTCCAATCTCTCAGGGTAGCTGAGGTGCCGAAGTGCAGGCACCAGTTTGGTGGCCCTCCTTTGAACATTTTCAACCAACTGACAGTCCCTAGCATATCTCGGGGACCAAACGGGGTGACAGTACTCCAGATGGGGAAGCACTTCACTCCTGAAGATCGTTACGAGGGACGGACCGTCTAGATATCTGAACGACCTTCTTATAAGACCCAATAATTTATTTGCCTGATTTACCTTCTTCTCACAATGGCCCGAGAACTTCAGCTCATTGTCAACATACACACCTAGGTCCTTCTCACACACAGTCTCAACTAGTGCAGTTTCTTCATCCCGTTGGGACATATGATACGCCTCCTTACCGTTGGTACGCCCCAGGTGCATCCTCTTACACTTCGTGACATTGAATCTCAGCAGCCATTCCTTCGACCATTCCTGGAGCCCACAGAGGTCCTTCTGCAGCTCTTCACAGTCCGCTTGGCAAGTTCAGACAAAAACAAGACGATTTTTATCTATGACACTTTTGGCGTATTTTACCCATAACTCGCCTGACGATTTTACTGAAGATATATCTATCTATCTATCTATCTATCTATCTATCTGTCTATCTATCAGTAGTACCCTCCCCCCATTTAGCCTAATCTACCCTAACTAAATATCAGTCCATTTATACAGTATACAGTATGTTGAAGTTCACTCCCCGACCCTGATTTTTTTTTTTTGGTGTTTATAAGGAAGTAAGTAAGTTGTGAAGCACCCCGGAGGACGCGCCACTAAGGCTAAGGTAGTGTAGCACTTTGTGTGTTGGCAGATATTGATGACTCTCTCAACACTTGGCTAGTGTAATGTACGTCCCTCCTGCTCTCACTTGTTTCTATTGTTATTAACATATGTAAATAATTATTTGTCTATATTTATATATGTTGATTATAATTATATGAATAACTTAAGTATCTGTTTGGAAGATATTGTGAGTGGTATTTACGTGGTTTATGAGCCGTCATTAGATTGGTAACAAGTACCCAACTAAAGTTAATGAACTTCTATATTAATATTACCAATTCCGTATTTTTTTAAATATGAAAATTAAAAATATAAAGTAGTATTAAGCTTAAGGTAAAATGAGATAAAGGAAGAGATGAAGTAGCTTGATTGGTGGTTGGGTACCTGAGCTCATTGTTTGTGGTCACCCAAACAAACACGGGCGTGAGTATTAAACTCTCACTTTTTATTATTTTTCTCCCTTATTTAATCAAATTTTATTACCATATTTTGTCGATCAACGATTTATAAGGTCAATGAGATTAACCGGGAATATGAGAATTGACCAGAATTTACAGTGGTAGAGTAAAAGTGAGATAAGTTGAGTAAGGTTGACGTGTCACAAGGAAGTCCCTCACTCCCGCTCTCCTTGAGTTAACTCCACGTCACCCTCAGTTAAATCACTTCACTGTTCGCTACTGGTCACTGCTGACGTCCACCTGCTGGTCACTACGCCTCATTAACTAGAGGTAACTATACAGCTTAACATATGGTAGTGGTCATTAGCGGATAGTACTTTTTTATTTTTGCTGTTAGTGGTCATTGCTCCTGTTGAGTCCTGACAGCTGTTTTTGACTCCTGACAGCTGTTGATGGCCACTGCTGACAGCTGGCCAAGGAGTAATTTACTAATTTTTAGTTAATAGTCTTTAGAGATAGACATGAATATTGAATCAGTATAAGTACCATACAAATTTATATTGGTTCATCAGGTACATAGACCATTTAGGTATACACGAAATAGTGACTTGTGACCTGTGTTCTCACTGCTGGAGATAATAATATTTAGAAAACTTTATCTGTAATTTTGTGTCTGTGGTCTAGAGACTGAACAATTTTTCCCCATCTGTTATTTATTATGTACTCCAGGTATATGTTCTGTGCATCATATAGTTTTTAGTGTATGAGGTATTAATATAGCAATTAATGTAGTTATTGAAGGTGGACGAGAAGTAATTGACATACAGGTGAGTCATTAAACTTCAAAAGTCTTATGAAAATAATACACAGCCCAACCTCCATTTAAGACAATATGTTGAGAAAAGTTGGTAAATTTGCATTGTCACACCGTTCACTTTTAGCAAGTCAAAAATAAATTTTTCTAGTGTATTTGTGTTTGTTTAGACCGAATATGACCTTCATTTTTGGTGGAAGTTAGCCGTTTTTTTTTAGTGATTTTTGTTTGTTTGGCGTTTTCCGAAAAAAAAGTGGCTAAGCGACTAAAAAATACACAAAAAAACACTAGAAAAACCAAAACCAAAACCTAACCTAACTTAACTGACTCTCACCATATGATGGAATCGCCAATTTCTTACCTTATTGGCCTGGTTCTTGTTCGTCATTGCATTCTGGGATTCTTACCCAACGCCACATGTGCTGGTCTTTGCGATATTTACATTCTGTCTTGCTCTTAGTACACTTTACTGAGGTTGGAAGAACACCTTGCGATCGAAAAAATGCTATAGTTTCTATGTTTTTTCCAAAAACTCGCAATCTGCTCCATATACTTTAAGTGACATCCATCACAGACTTTCATGGTCGGAACTGAACTTGAATTTCAAAATATGAGACCCAAAATAAAACTCGATTTTGATTGGGCCAAATATACTCTGAATTAGCAAAAACGCTTTTGATTGGCCGCGTGACGTGTACGGGCACGCATGCGCGTCATGATTTATGAAGGAGACACGAGAGACACGCAGTGTTGGGTGAGAGGCAGACGATAATGGCGGGAAATAAAAGAAGAAAATAGAAATTTATTTGAAAAAGCTATCTCCATTATTATACATTTCCGCCGGTAATGTAATAGATGAAAATTATCTTATAATTAGACGTCTTATTCGAATATGATAATAGATTAGTGGTAGGAATGAACGGTGTGTAAAAGCAATAATACCGAAAAGTTTGTTATATCAAGGGTTCGTCAGATGTGAAACCTCCATCTAACGAACTATATAGATATGAAAATCCATCATATCGAAGCTATATACATTATATATAGAACCCCAAACTAGCTGATTATATAAAGAGAGAGAAGTCCATATATTTCTGGCCCACCCTGTAGTTGATGAGTGACTGAACTTAATATTTGTTGTTGTGTTTACAGCATGAGGTGGGGAGTATTACTGGCCTTGGCCCTGGCCCTGGTGGAGGCTTTACCCGTCAAGGAGAAGAGACCTGAGGAACACAAGGAGGAGCAGCAGCATAAGGAGGGTGAAGAACAGTCAGAGGATTGGGTGAGTCTTAACCGAGCGGACAAATCACTCGACTTATGTACCATAAACATTTTGATTGTAAGTTTAAGGTGTAAATTTATTGCCTCTTACACCTGATGGATCACCTGGAGGTTAAACACTATTATTATTTTCATTACATCTGATGGCTCATCTGAATATTAAATACCCCATAATTAATTGGATTACACACCTGATGGCTCACCTGAAGATTAGCCACCCTAATGTTATCTGGATGTTAGGTTAGCAGTAGGGTGGTTGATCTTCAAATAAGCTGATGTGTGTAACCTTCATGTGACTCTCATTGTGTGACTATAAATATGATTTATTTCTTACTGTGGTTGTGTGTTGGCAGGTTTCCTTCTCTGATGTTCCCCTTGTATAACACAGCCCCCAGTCACATTTCACACCCCCAGTACACTAAGTAATACCCACATCCATCCTCCTAAAACAGTCACTATATTGTAACTAAACAAGACTGGAGTCCCTAATAATGTGTATGTGTGTTTCTTCCAGGAGTTAAATTTGGAGTATGGTCGATATCTCAAGGAAGTCGTACAAGCCCTGGAGAGCGACCCAAGCTTCAGGAAGAAATTGGAGACGGCTGAGGTGGATGATATCAAGGTAATGTTGAGTACAGTATGATATTGACTCAACCGTAATGGATGTGGTGTTAACTCTTTTCGGACATAACCCACAATGGGTGCGTCCAAAGTAACCACCCAGTTGTGGTTCCTGTCATTCAAAGGGTTAATACATATGTTAGGTAGCCCCTGTGAGTAAGACTAAATTCATGGTGGAACTATTAACTCTTTGCATCCTGGAGGGTTAAACCATCATCTTCAAAAGGTTTAAAGTCACTCGTTATTCACTGCTGTTGTCACCACTCACTGTTCCTCCGACTGTAACTGTGACATTTTAGTCCATGTTATTCGTCACTTTTCAGTCTGGTAAGATTGCTCGGGAACTGCACTTCGTGGACCACAACGTGCGTACTAAGCTGGATGAGCTGAAGCGGCGAGAGCTTGAACGTCTCCGCCACCTGGCAGTCAGGGTAGGTACCAGGTGTTTGTGTTATAGAGTTGAACTTTTAAGTGCACATAATGTACTTTGCCTTCATTGTAATGTATTTAGATGTACAGTACAGTTGGGGTCTAAAGTTTGCTCCTTCATGGTGGTGAAACTCAGGCACGGTAATGAGTCTCTGAACTTACTCACTTACCCTGACTGTCATCTGATGCGAGTGTGCTGTTTTATTTTGGGAGGTACTGTAATGAACTTTTGATCCCGACTGTACATAGATGTATTTCACTATACTGTATATATAGAATTTATTTTTGCCTGGAATACACTGTGTTGGTGACAGAGTAGTGTTGAACAACAAGTTATTATTAAGTGATTGGAAGAGCAAATTATTTTTCTTCTGTATCTCTTTTATCACTACTTTACTTTTTATCTTATTGTTTCTTGTCTTTCCTTAATTCTTTGTTTCTATTGTTAAGTCTTCATTCATCTGTTGTTAATTCTTTCCTCTCATCACAATTATTATACATCTGTTGGGGCTCCTCCCATCCCACTTCTTATTCACTTGTTGTTCCCTCCTTTCATCCCTTTCATTATTTACCTGTTGTGTTAATTCCCTCCACTCATCCCTCTCACTTCACACCCGCCTACATTTCTGGTGTTGTCTGCCCCTTAAACAGGAACACGAGAAACAGACGGGCGTGGACCGCAACTTGCTGAAGGTCCCTGTCCATATAGACCACAAGAACCCCACGCGGTTTGAGGTGGAGGACTTGAAGAAGCTCATCATGAAGGTAAGATTTAACCCAAGGGACTGAGTCAACCTTCTCCAGTCTCTAGCTAACCAATGGAGATCCTCGAATACTGTACTGTATATCAAAACCTCCATATAACAGGACTATAATACAGATGGAAGTCCATTTATCGAGGGTCCATTTTAGATGTGACCCCCCCCCCCCATCTAATGCACCCTTGATACAGCATAATGGATATTTATCTATATTTATAAACTAGTTTGTTAGATGGAGGTTTCACATCTAACAGACCCTCGATATAATGGACTTTCTTCTCCATATACAGTACAGTGTAGTGCGTTAAATAGAAGTTTCACGAATAAAATGTTGGGTATCTGACTCTGGTATACTAATGTACAGTTCACATATCATGAGATGTAGAGAGATACAGGTGGACAGTTACTTGTAAAACCCATTCCTGTAAAGTAATTTCCAGCCACCCAAGAATGTATCTCAACATAACTAGTATTACCAGAAAGAGATGTCTACTGTACTTAGGTAACCATAAAATGGCTTATTTTGTAGCGATTTTATTATATATAACAAAACACAATTGTGGCGGCAAGTGACGAGAATGAATGATTTATATAACTTGCACTGTATATATCCCGACAGACCACAGAAGATTTGGAGAAAGTCGATGAACAGCGTCGCACTGAGTTCAAGACTTACGAGTTGGAGAAGGAGTTTGAGCGGCAACAGGAGCTGTCTGCGCTGGACGAGAGCCACCGCAAGACGGCTGAGACGCAGCACCAGGATGAAGTGAAGAAACACAAACAGCATTCCAAGTTACATCACCCGGGCTCTAAACAACAGCTGGAGGAGGTAGTGTGTTGTGTTGTGTTTTGTTGTCGGGTTTTGAGTCCTGTAAAGTGACGAGAGACTGTCTACTGTACTGTGTAACTTTTGTAGTAACATTTACTGGAGTCATTTAGTCAACTTAAGAAATGGTTTAAAATTCCAATAACCAGACCTAATGGGAAACTGTAGATGTCAGATACTGTACCGAGCTTACATTAGCACATTTTTATAATTTATTCAACACTATATTTATTTTCCCATTGGTGTATATTTTTCCCCTCTCGTAACTTTAGCTTCGGTGTGTGCATTGATATTGTATTAAATTTCCAGCAGATGATTCCAGTACAATACATTAAGGTTTGTTCTCATTGCAGGTTTGGGAGGAGCAGGATCACATGCAGCCTGAAGACTTTGACCCCAAGACTTTCTTCCATCTTCACGGTGAGAGGTTGTGCCGGTGGTGAGAGTCATGTGTCCTAAACCTGGCTTGTTGAGTACTTGGTCCATTAGTCCCTGTACAGTAATGTGCTTCTGAGCAGTGTATATGTTGTTATATATGTCTCTGTTGTGTGTTTGGTACATAGTGTGTGTCAGAGCTGGGTATATTTTTTGTATCCTGTAAGAAGAATCAGCCCAGCAAAATTTCACTGGGAAAGGGGAGGTTGAGTGGTGAAGGGAGTTGGCATTTATCCTTGGTTCCCAAAGTAACTTGTACTAAGGATTGCCGTGAGAGACAGTACAGCTGCCTCGTGTACCTTTTGTTACTAACTGAACTGGGAGAAAATTTAACCTTGCTTAGTCTTTCACCAGTGTCATGTCTGAAGGTATAGGCAGTGTCATATTACCAATTCATGAAGTACCCCTTTTTACATATCTGTTGAGACATTGTTACATAACTATATTTGACAAATTTCATAACCGAATGACAGACAGATCACATATCGAATGACAATCTAAAATAACTGTTGGCGGTATGTCATTCTCCAATTGTTACATTCTCAAACTAAATGTAGACTGTCGGTTTATTGTTCATGTCTGTCAACTTCATAACTTATGACAATCATTTCCGTTAGCATGAACGCACAGTTATTTTAGATTGTCATTCGATATGTGTTCTGTCTGTCAATCGGTTATGAAATTTGTCAAATGGTTATGTAACAATGTCTTAACGGATATGTGAAAAGGTGTACTGTACAGTATTTTGTCAATTTCTTGTTTTAAGATAAGAACACCTGAGGGCAAATCATTCTCACATGACTGTTTGTGCCGTGTTTGAAGCTCCTGATGGTCACCTGTTTAAGTCTTATCCCTCACAAGCTTTCTTAGTTTTCTTGATATAAGTGTTGATAGATGTAAGTACAGGAGTTGATCCCAGTGCTCCTGTCTCTTATCACCCATACTATTTTTATTTTGTCTTTAATTGTTGTTTGTATTAATATGTAGACATCACTGAAGAGATGCAAGAATGGAGGAAAGATCTTGGAAGAGAAAAAAATGCAAGATGGAAAAATTGTGAGAGGAATATTATATCTCTATTTAGGAACATACAGAACCTTATGTCTATCTTAATGGATTCTTCATAAGCCAGTGTGTGTGTGGGAGATGTATGGAGTAAAAATAGTACATATCAGAAGTAACTTTGTGAGGGGATGTACTACTTGTGATGAATATTGACCATTAGAGTTAAAAAGTTATGGTAATTAATTTCCTTTCACCAGATCTGGATGGGAATGGCTTCTGGGATGAAATAGAAGTGAAAGCTCTGTTTAAGAAGGAACTGGACAAGATGTACGATCCTAATGCCTCTGAGGACGACATCAACGAACGCTACGAAGAGATGGAGAGGATGCGTGAACATGTCTTTAAAGAATCTGACATTGACAAGGATAATCTGATCAGGTTAGTAAACTTTCTTTTATGCATCAGGAGAAAGTGATTGGATCATCCACTAGAATTTGGCAAAGTAGTATTTCTAGTAGGATACTTTATACACTGTTGGTGGTAATGGCTCTCCGTGGTGCATTTAGTAACCAAAAGTTGTGGAAGAGTTGGGACACCTGGGGTAAAGTCTTGTCTTGTTCCACTTCTGTACAATTCTCAAGTACTCAGCATCCAGGTGAGTGAGCCAGGGATCTGATGCTCACTTGCCTTACCATTAGTTCTCACACTTGTGCTGCTTTTATCATTTTTAAGATTCCTTTGTGTGTGTGTGTGTGTGTCTGTCTGTCTATGACCATTGATGAAAGATGTTTGGTGAAATTCAACAAACTAAGACACGTAAAAATAATTTGAGTATTGGTATTATATCATCCATTTATTACAGCTTTAGAGAGTTTGTGGATCAAACCAAGCGAGCAGAGTTTGAGCAGGACGGTGGGTGGCAGGGGCTGGACGAACAGGAGATATATTCCCAACACGAATATGAGGAGTACGAACGTCAACGCCAAGAGGAGATCAGGCGTCTTGTGGAGGCTGGAGCAGTGAGTGATGATGTGCACTTTAGATTCCTGGATGGAGATTCTTAATAGTTCATGTGTTTGATGCTTGTCTTACTTGTTGTGAGAGTACCTTTTACGGGTTCAATTAAGATACATATGGTATAAAAATTAGACTAAATGTCAGATATGTACAGTCAACTACTAGAGTTTTGTCTCCCTCCCCCTCCCCCCGGAACCAGGTACCTTGAGATTCAGACTCAGGAATCTGAAGTGTCTATGGACAGAATAATGTATCAGTCTACTACTTCGGGTTTGCGAATCTGAATCTCAGGGTTTGTGTTTCAGGGGGAGAGGCGAACAGACGTTAGTACTTGACTGTTTTTGGGGCTTTGCCATAAGGGTTAGTGTAGTGTTTTCTCAACCACAGTACATTAATGTGTAAGATGTCAACATATGAACTTTTGAGAGTCTGGGACTGCACTTTAGATTTTGATCAATTATTGTGTGGGTCTTTTTATGTGCTTTTTTGCTTCTTGTTAAGTTACAGTATTTTCAAACAAAGCTTGTACTGAAGTTCACCAACTACATCTGGTTAGTTAATACACAAAATGGTTACTTTAGTTTGAGTTAGTAATAGTGACTCTTTATAGATGTTTTTAGAGTACAGTACAATACTGTACTGTATTAGTTACAGCATGAACAACATTGTTTGAAAATACGGAGGTGTACATTTGCATTTTGTTTGTTTCGCCTATTATTTTTATTATTTTATGACTTCTAGATATCAGAGCCTCACCCCTCATCCTCAGCTAACAGTGAACCAGACCTAAAATATTATTATTATTGAAACATCATAGTGGAATTATTTTTTTCTTTTTAACCTTAAAATAACATTGTGGCAAGTAAATAAATATCTTGTTGATTCACAGTGGTTCTTGGTCACTGTGAGGCAGAGGGTCGTAACACACTGCTGTTTGGCCATCATTGTTTACCATGTGTTATTTCATTAGACTTGGGTGTATTGTCATGTTGTTGCATTATATTACCAGTGTTTGACTGTTGGGCACAACAGAGTATTTGCATAAACAATCATGTGAAAAGCACAGTACTCAGTAATTTAAAAATATAAAAAAATATCTGAACTTTCTACTGATGGGCTCTTTTATATCAGCATCATTGTTGATCTTATGTGCATTAGATGCTTAATGAGAAAAACCACCACAAGGATTACTAGTTAAATGGATCCCATGGATATATTTTGTGCTAGATTTTGTACAATAATTTGCATCATGAGTCTTAAGCCCAGATTTGGTGCGATTTACACTGAGAATATGATTTCAAAATCAATACAATTATATGAGTTACATGTTCAGTTGCTGTAGAGTAACTCCCTGATTATTAAGTTTTGTGGCTGTACCGGTAGTTATCAATGATCATGGTTTATAGAGTACGTATACTTATTGTATCTTGTAAATGCTGAAAACAGTTGGCATTGACGTAACAATGGTGAACCGTGCTGTTGTGACCTCTTGTTTCTGGTGAGTTGAAGGTGTAGCAGGTGTAGAGGCTGTGATATAGGAGCATGTGTGCAGTGTTTCTCCACCCTGTAGATCCCACCCCCACCCGGCTACCATGGGCTGCCACCTGCCCAGCCAGCCATATACCAGGCTGGAGGACATCCTGGGTCGTATGCTGCCGCCCCTCAAGGACTGTCTCCCCCACATGCTGTTCCTCAGCATGGGCAGCCACCTCAGGTCCACCCTAATGCTGTTCCTCAGGGGTACCAGGCAGCTCCTCAGGGGTACCAGGCAGTTCCTCAGGGGTACCAGGCAGTTCCTCAGGGGTACCAGGCAGTTCCCCAGGGGTACCAGGCAGTTCCCCAGGGGTACCAGGCAATTCCTCAGGGGTACCAGCAGGTGCAGTTTGCTCCTCAAGGGGTTCCTTACCAGGTTTGTTTTTACCCTATCATTCACAGTTTTGCTTGTTGCTTGTTCATGCACTTCGTTGATAGCTTCTTTGGTAAACTGAAGTTATGTTTAGCTGAAAGTAGGAATACTGTACGGTGCTGCATATAGTTTAGAAGTTAGTGTGTGTGCTTGTCCTTATAGGGGGTGTGATGTTCTCTACAGATTTATTAAGTGGGTTGTTAAGTTATAGATGTGTATGTACAGTACAGACCTGTGTGTGTGTGTCTACTGAGACATAATGATGAGTTCCTGAAACATGAATCATGGTCTTGGTAAGATGATATTGCTTGAGGATTGTTCTTGTGTGTTAAGCTAAAGTGGACAGGATATTGATTTATTTTTTCTGTGAAGAGAATATTTGTTACAGTGAAGACTTGTTCAGTCACTGGTCACCACCAAGGAATTTTTCAGAGGTCAATACTGTTGTTCTGTATAAGTGGGATAAATTCTGTCATTTCCTAAGTATTAATAATGTTGATTGAAATTCCTGTTTTTACCATAATGGATCTTTGACTGCAGTACTAAACTTTTTGTTGTAATATTATGATGAATGCAATAAAAAAATATATAGAGCTAAAATGTTGTGAAAAAACATAATAGGGTACAGGTAAACTTCCTGGGTGTGAGTGTTGAGCACTGAATGTTAATGTCACTTACATACATTGTCTCTTCTGTGTAGATCATAATAATAAAATGTAAGTCTTTTTGAGGAATGAAGTACAGACAATGGCAGAAAGAACACAAACTTATACATTGTCATAATGACGACAGTTAGCTCATTCATAATTCTCTTGGTATTATTATCTCTATTGTTGTGGTCAGGGATAACAAAGAAATTTTAGTAGTGTTTTCCAAGTCATATGTTTATATTTTAAGTTTTTCTTCTAGTCCACATACTGTCAACATATTCTGTCAATCCTTTGTTATTGGTGAGGGACTTTAATCTCAAGGCAACAGTGTGTGTGTGAATCTTATCCTTACATACAACTTTATTCCTTTAGCAGGTCCCAGCTCAACCTGGTCAACACCCCCAGGGACAGGTTCAGCAAGGTCAGCCCTCTGCAGGACAGGTTCAACAGGGTCAGCCACCCCAAGGAAATATACAAGGTCAGCCTCCCCAAGGGCAAGTTGTACAGGGTCAGCCCCCACAAGGTCATCTTCCCCAAGGACAAGTCGCTCAAGGTCAGCCAGCTCAAGGACAGGTTGTAAATGTTCAACCGGCCCAAGGACAGGTCGTGCAGGGTCAGTTTGTACAAGGTCAAGTTCCCCAAGGACAAGGTGTACAAGGTCAGCCTGCCCAAGGACAGGTCTTACAAGGTCAACCTCCTCAAGGTCAGGTAGTACAAGGTCAACCTCCTCAAGGTCAAGTACCTGCTGTAGGTCAGGTTGGTCAAAACCCTCCACCAGTAGCAGGCAATAATGTGGGCGGACAGCCCAGAGCTGGAAAGTAAAGTCTTAATGACAGTTCCTCAAGCCCCTGGACACGACAATGACTATCTCCACAAGACGGCTTATTTACTTGCAAACACACTGATGCATGGATCACAACCATAACCCTGGTGATGTTTAGCTTCAGGTGATGGTTGATTGACTTAAACTGTTAAGAAGCCAAAGGTTTGTTCTGTTGTTTTGATATGTCTCTTCATGATGTGGTTGTCTTAACACCAGGAAGCAGGTGTCTACCACTAATTCTTATTATAAATATTATGCCGAGATAATCGGAGAAGTGGAACTCTGAATGTGGGGATCTGTAATGCGCTTGTGGTAAATGAAGAAGGATGCATGTGAGGGACACTAGCTGAGGGTAGCTGTAGCCTATATAAGGTACATGGCTGATACAGTACACGGCATGGTACAACTTGTCAGTACAGGTACAATCACCTGCACTTATTCCAGAAACAGTGAGTGGCGCATTTTGTGAGATATGAGTTGTGTAGAATGCTTACCTAGCATCTTGAGTCTGGCTACTATTGTAAGGTTTCTGAGGGCCATTCCAGGAGTTTTAATACAATGTAAACAAACACAGTTGCCACATCTCGCAAAATATGCCAGCCAGTGTACAAAGTATAAGTGCAGGTGACTGTACATACAGACTTTTAAGTCACTTCTGAGAGAATTTTGTGTTACTCTTTTTATTAAGTTACAATGTATAGCAATGATCAAATAATGTTTTTACTTTTGTTTAAAATAGATGTACTGTATTGTGGTATAGTAGTTTTGGCTGTCTGGTCTGTATAAACTTATCATCCAAATGAAAATTCTCAGTAGGCGTTTTGCAGAATATCAAGTTCAAGTCTTTATCAGTTGCCAAGGTCTAAACTGAACATCAGATATGGCAACAGGTGTATGGTGTGCTACTTAATGTTGTCATCACCACCACAGCAGTTGTTTTAGAGGGTTTTATTATGCGAGTATTGTTGGGGGGAAGTGTAAAGAAATAGCTGCTATACATGGTGGCTGGAGGATCACCGTGTACAGTATACTGTGTTTACATTTAAATTACTTTTGTATACATATTTTGTCACCGGACAATTTCATCACCGTTTTTATGGCTTATTAAAACTTTTAAAAGTAATTTACTTGAAAAAACTTTGAATTTTCTTCCTGTTCAGTAATTTAATAGTTTTTGGTAATGTGGATGCTAAACTATTTATTTTTTTTAAGAATTATGTTGTCCACATGATATTTCCTTATTCTTCAAAAGACACATTTTTCTGGGGCAGGAGTTTGGTCTGCCCCAAGCGTAACTAATTCATGATACCTTAAAGAGCCATGGATGATCATCTCCAGTTGTGGCTTCAGATTTATGTGTCCACTTGTCACACCGTAATAAGAATGGCTGACACTGACCATCTCTGAGGTGGATATTCTGTTCTGTGATTTTGTCATTGACTTTGTATCTTTTGTCTGTAAAAAAATGACTACTGTAGTATTTTTGATAGACTTGTACCGTAGTTGTTAAAAATTTGACAGTGGAGCACACTCAAATTTCTATGTTTGGTATTTAGAGTAATACAGTACAGTATTTAGCTTTATACTATTTAAAAAAAATGAGCTGTCACCTGTAATGTAGCAAATGTTGAGGAATTTTACAACTATGTTTGCATAAAAATTAAGTTAACTATAAATTTAAAAGTAACAGTAGAGTGATTAAGAAAGGAGGAGGAGGTAGATTCTGGTAGTTATAAATTCTTTCTTTCCTACAGACAACAGTGCTTCCAATTTTAATTGGTAAAGAACTAGCACAAATTTTAACGTGGCAGAGATGTCTCGGTGCTTTATGTTACGAGGCCTCCATGGTGTAAGGTTAATTGATAGGTTTATAATTGATGTACCTCTGGTCTTACCTTGAGGCCAGACCGGGTTGTCGCTGTCTTCTCCTTCCCAGTAGTGTCTGGCAGTGGCACTCCGGTTAGGGCTGCCCTTCACACCATTGGCTGAAAATTTCTTGGAAAATGCAATGTACTGTACAGTACTTACTTCTTTATAATTTATCTTTTCATATTTTCCCCCAAAAAATGTTTAATATGACACTGATGAAGATAACTTTTTTGATAGTTGAAGAGCACAGGATATGAAGAGGTCTTATTACATACTGTATTGGGTGAAGATGAACCAAGCTTACAATACTCAGCATCTGCCATATCGGGTACTGTGTTTATTTATTTATTTATTTATTGTTTATTTCAATGATCACAAATTCAGCCATAAATATTTGCCAGTACCTGTAGTTACAATTAATGGAATTTTATTTTTGAGTCCAAATAATCTTGATAATTAATGTAATAATGTAGACTTAAAAAACAAACTGGATTGCAGTACACAAATGCATCATTTGGATATTTATTAATTTATCTTTTCTTGTGTTAAACTGATCTGCAAATTATTGAATTACATCTTCGAGTTATAAGATTTATGCGAGAATTTGCTGATCTTCAATGTTATAAGACATACAAGAAGATGTTACAGATTATGGTACAATAGTTAGATGGCTGCATAATGTTAGTGTCAAAAGGGGTTTGTGAATTGAGTTTGTGTTGCATTTTATTCTAGAATCTCAGTTGGAGAATTAACATTAGTGTCAGTAGAGTGTTTTAGCCTGCACAACAACCTGGGGATGTGTTTCAAAGGTTAGTGACTTGGAGAGCATCTTGGTATTTCTGATATGTTGTGGAGCACTATACAATACTGTACTATACCTTGTAGACACCATCAATGAGTACAGTGGTGTCACATCTCTCTATCATATTTCTATATAAACTATTGAGTATAATGACTATACCCATAACCAGTGTGTACAATGTAAGTCCAAAAGTATGATATTTAACCCAAAGAAATGTAATAAGTTACTTTTGTGAGGGGCAGAGGGATCACATAACACATTTTTTTCTTACAGTACAGTTGGTAGTGCCACTGTGTGTATTCTCTGTTGAGTGTAACTCCCAAACACTTTATGAGACATTTAATTATTACTCAGCTGGCTGTGAAATTTGCTGTTTGACCAATAATTTGCTTCTAGATATTTTAGGAAATAATGAGATATTACTTACTGGAGAACACACACACAATGGTTAATTCATATGAGTCAGTCAGTCATGGTGCATCAGCTGTAACACTGCATAATGGAACACACGCTATGACTACACCAGGAAGTAAAAGTAGCATTGTAGCTATACAGTAAAACCTCCACATAAAGGATTTCTCTGTATAATCCATTAGATGAAGGGTTCACATTTAATGTACCCTTGATATAATGGACTTTCCTCTCCATACAATCCATTTAGAGGTTTTACAATAGAGGTAATTTGTGAACAGGAAAGCTTCAACTTTGTACCATGGATGGAGTTTGGTGGTTAACTGTGCCAAACACAACATTAGAATTACCAGGTGGACAAACACCCGAATTTGTAGCTTTTACTCGTGTAGGTTACACAGTGATCTGGAGGAGGATCACATGTGTGTATTGGGATCCTCATCTACAACATTATTCACAACTATGGCATAAAGACTTGTATCCTGGGGTCTTGTCAGGTGTTAGTCAATCTCTGCAGCAGCTCGGTAATGTGTTTGTTTCTTTCATTATCCAATAATTAAGGGTAATGTCAAATTGTTTTCCTCTAGACCTCAGTCACTACACTACTCTTCTCAGGTGTTTTTAATACACTATACTGGTAGATTTCACAACTGTGTATGTAATCATAGTGACATCAGATTTGTCTAGATTTTAAATGATTATCATGTTGTATGTGGATAATATATGTATGGCACAGTAAATAAACCCATAATTATTACCTAAATAAATGGGAAATATATTTTTGGTCAAGGTGATGTCTTTTTATCTTGAGAGGCAGAAGAGCTATTTTGAAAAAAGTTAATTGATTCTTTTATCTTCGGGTAGATAACTCGCATACGAATATTTTTTCCTGTTAATTCTTCTTTGCATAATGTGTCAGCCTGGCAATCTTCCCCCTGGTAGTGTACAGGAGATGAATAACAAACACTGTGGATCAACTGTATAGTACTGTGTTATGAAGACAGCCAAATGTTGACTTATTTATATCAATGTGAATACTGTATTATGGGATTTGTTGATGTACAAGATAGTTGTTGTATCTTTTATGACAACTAATGTTCTCATGCTCATTAAATTTTACTCTTGAACAAAATAAAATTTCTTTTTTTGAAATTAAGAGTTGAAAAGTTTCTTACTTTGTTAGAAACACTTCGAGGGATACAAGCGCACCCATGGTGGTGTGTCTTTAGGTTGAATAACAAAGTATAGTATTAGGTTCAGTTCTGTATTCACAATTAAATTACAACTACTCAGCATGATGGAATTTGTGTGACCTGTTAGATTCTATTGCACAAATCAGTACAGTACAGTTAAGTGATATATTACACTATATCCAAACATTAACATATTTCCTATGATTAAATTGAATAACAGTGATTAACAGTTCTCCGTCATGGCAATTCACTCTTATCTCACAATATTATGTTGTTTCTTTGCATCTAAAGTCAGGTTCTGGTGTTGACTGTAGGCCACTCATGCTGTATGTGTTACCTTATATAGTAATTCTTATACTGTATTAAAATAAGTTTTATATGAACATAAAATTAAGGATTACAACTATTCACATTCCATGGTATATTGTTTAATCGGGTGGATAGTCAGTGTTGTGAAGCATGAACAGGGCAGCACACTACATGGTGATAGTCGGGTGTTCTGTTGACGCCCCGGACCCAGAACCTAACCTAACCAAACTTTACACAAACAAATCCATAATTATTGTATGAAAATTTGGGTTCAGTTCACAAATCCGAGTTAGTAATATTAGTTTTGTCCTTCTGTCTAGTGTATTAAAGGTGCATCACTTGAAGGTGTTGTGTAAATTGATGACTGATGCAGATGTTCCTGGACAGATGATTCTGAAGTGGTATGAAAACATTTGAAATACTTGATGTGATCCACCTCCTGGGACTGATGGTGGTGTTATATGGTATCTTGGACCGACAGCTCCTTGTGTACTGTATGTTGTGTTTTAGATTGTTGCTGTGTTATTTTTTAATTAAATTTCAGAGGTTTAGTTATTTTTCAGTAATCTTTGTAAACAGAATATTGTTTATTTTATGAAAATGTATTGTTTATAAGTGGAATGTTTATAGGAAGATTATGAATGAAATAAACTTGAATTTTATATTATGCTGCATTTTTCCTAATTCTTCCAGTTAGTTACTGTACTTGCAGAGGAAACATTTGAGCTTCAGTTACGTGTCAAACCAAGTCTTAATGGCTTGTCACAGGTTCCCACGATCATTTTGTCCTGGTAAAATGAGTGAAGACTTTTTTAACTATTTTCTTGCTGCACCTGAATTAAATCACCAAATGAAAGGTTTGCCAAGTTGCAGCCTCACAGATCGATCTTGTTATTGTTGTTATATTTATTATTTATTTATTTTTTTTATCACAATACGTATTACGGAATCCCTCTGGTGTGAGGCTTATTATTATTCCATCTTTCAGCACAGAGAGAGATCCAACAAGTGTTCTCAGATCTGTTCATCAAAGTTACCATCCTCAAGCCAAAGATTGAAGATATTTGATGTATGAAGTTCTGAATTATCGAAGGCTATATGGTGAAGGAAAAACACTGTGGTAAGGAGCATCCTGCTGTACTAACACATGGGTAGAGTGACATGTTGACTCATACACCCAGCAGCTGTCATTAGGAGGAGTTACGAGGTCAGTGCTGGGGGTCAAGGATGATCTTGCAAGCGGCACCAGTCATGAGAAGGTTGAATGCGTGAAGGTACTGCGTCATGGGCAGGCGGTGAGACACTACAGGGCCCACATTTACCAGTCCGTCAGCCAGCAGCCGCTCACACTCCTCCCATGTGTGGAAGATCCTGATAGACAAGAAGATACTTACACAGGGAACCGAGTGATAACAGAATTAGCACTAGAGGTGTAAGCTGGGTATGGTGAGAACTGCTATGTGAGGAGGGGTCTAGGTAAGCAGGAAGATGAGAATGGATAACATAAAATGAAGAAGGTTGTGTATCTATGGTTGTGGATGGTCCAGAAATATAGAAAGAGAAAGTGAGGATGTTAATGTATATAAACTTAAAATGGAAGGACAGGAACACCAGCAGTGAAGAGAGGACAGGAAGGAGCATGCATCTACACCTATAGAAAGTCTAGCAGTTGGTAACAACAGTGCTGGATGGTTTGGGAGTGAGGGAAAGGAGAGAACTGACCAGGGGACTTACCTACGACCATGGACAGTCTTGAGGGTGAGGGACTTGAAGACAACATCAGTAAGAACATTTTCAACGTGAAGTGGTTCTTTGGGGAGTCCAATAAGCACCATCTGCCCACCCTGGAGTTAATCACACTTGTAAATAAACATGGCTCCAGAGATATTTAGAATTTATACTGGGGTGTCTTCTTAAGGAAAAGCAATTTCTGAAAGTTAATCTTTTGAATTGTATTTAACTATGGCATGATTTGCCGGAAGACTAAAATGACCCACCTTGCGTAGCCAGGAGAAGGACTGGTTGAGGAGGGAGGCAGCACCACTGGCTTCTACTATACGTCCTACTCCATTCTTGTTACTCAGATTCATCACCACAGATGTTATGTTCTCCTGTGACAAGCAATAGCATTACTGTAAATGGCAAGTACCACACTGGTCCTCCAGCATTGTATTATCTTTATTTTGTTGAGTAGATTTTAGGGGCTAAGTAAAAGTTAATGGTTTATCCTTGAGTTAGGTGTCTCTCCTGATATTAAGGGTATGTACAAAATGTAAGGAATTCATTCGTGTAAAGTTGTCTCAAGCAGTGTCAGAAAACTATATACTAATACAGTACTGTACTGTATTATATAACCTAAACAATACAATACTGTAAACAAGTGTAAGATGCTATCTGATGGCCTTGGTTGGTAAACGATGGCCCTATGTTGTGAGAGGTCGCTATAAATTCACAAAGTCAAAATAGTCTCAATCACAAATGACAAGTGACTTTGACCTTTATGACCTCATCTGACCTTGGCTCCATTGATGACCTCAGTAGCGCCCATCTGTAAGGCCAAGCTCAGCCGCTCGGGGTCCACGTCCACCCCATACACCTCTCGAGCCCCTGCAAAGTAAAGATAGTTTGGATAAGGTCAAAGATCAAAATGTAGTCAACAAGGTCAGACATCAAGCCCCCTCGGGGGCAAATTAAATAAAATTAAATAAAGACGGTAAACAAGGTCAGAGATCAAGACACAGTAAACAAACAAGGTCAGAGATCAAGACACAGTAAACAAACAAGGTCAGATATCAAGACTGATCCATCATATACAGTATTCTCCCTAACAGTTGAGTTCTGCTCAGTGTTCTCCATCTGGTTTATCACACAAACCAGCAGCAGCAGTATGGTCAGTGTGACATACCTATAGCCTTGGCCACAGCGATAGCAAACAGTCCCACAGGTCCACAGCCCAGCACCAACACGTCCTCCCCAGCCACACTGATATTCTCCACTGCATTGTGCGCCACACCTGTCACCGAGAAGAATACACTTAATATTAATAAGTTTAAATGATTCCACAACGATGTTGTAACAGGATGTAAATTCAAACTCAATGTCCTAACACAACATTTATCACCACATGAAAGTGTACATACAGGGTTCATCATTCATGCTCTAAATATTACATTTATTTACATGCTGAATTTATTGTTCTAATGTACCATAAAGTAGAGGTAAAATTTCTGGCTGTATTTGGCTTAAACTGTATCTGTCTTGACCAGACTGATGGAGGTTTGTTTGTATGAGAAGATGGTTAAGTGGTGTAATGCAGCCAATGACAAATTCTTGGTTGACTGTGCACACCCCGCTCAGAGGTCAGCCATGGGACTCGAACTAGCAAGTGTTGAGCAGTTGATGTTATAATGTTATCACTGTACTTCAACAACTAAGGTTTTTAAACATGTGACAAGATTAGTAATTACACTAGTCCATCAACAGTTAAAAATTATGGGATGAGACTCTTGAGATCAAGAAAGTAGTACTGTCTCACTCAGCTGCTGTACAGTACAGTACTCAGTATTTTTGTTTTACTGGACATAGTTTTTTGTGTGTTACTGTATATCAACTATAGTGGTACGTATATTTACCCACTATTGGTTTAACAGTATACCCTTATATGCAATTATGGTACAGTACTGGACAACTCGCTCATCTTTACAGTCATGTTTTACTCTGCTGTCATATTTGAGTTACATCTCAGGCATTAGAAGAACATCAGTAAAGATCCCCCCAAAATTATGAAATACTATAGTGACAAAGTTAAACTGAACATACACCCAGATCTTTATCTATCTACATTTCTCCTATCTCTATGCACAAATAATTCTGTTTCCACCTGTCATTAGCAAGACTAGTGTGGCCAACCAGTTATGACAGGTTTTTTAGGTAGTTAGATATTATAGCTCGGTACTACAGTAATTAGAGAAAAGTTGTTAAATATACCCATCGTTGGTGGTGGTGTTTATATGTACAGTATTTATGTGTCTTGAGCATACTGTACGTCACTTCATACACTAGACAACAAATATTAAAAGTTACGGTTAGCCCCCAGCTTACAGTACTTCACCTGATGACTAAACACCCTTATGCTAACCTAACCTTACATACCCGAATGTAATGAAATCTAACTTAACCTAAGTAAACCAAACCTAACCTAACCCCCCACATATCATTCGGGTATTTAATCATCAGGTGAAATAAGCTGGGGGGAAGGGGGTCGTCTAATCTTTAAGTGATCCAAAATTCTTCCTCATACCCATGGGCTCCAACAGGACGGCCTGGTCTGGGGTAAGGTCCCTGGTGAGTACGTAGCAGAAGCGGGCCGGCACACACGAGTACTGGCAACAGCCCCCTTGGTCAGTGCCTCTTCCGTGACCGTATTGACTCAACCGCTGACAGATGTCACCACGACCCTCCTGTAACACCCACACCTGTGTCAGTACGGCTGTGTCCCTGGCCCTCGTTGTCTTAAGTATGATAGTTTCACTTGAGTATGATAACTTCAACTAAGTATGATCATTTCACTTGAGTATGATAACCTCCAAGGTATGATAACCACCTCTTACCTTACATTGGTAACAGGTTCCACAGTAGTAATGGTTCTCAACAGCCACTCTTTGACCCAACTTGACCTCTGTCACCCCTGAGCCCACTGCCACCACCTCCCCTGTTGCTTCGTGACCTGTGGTGAGGGAAGATCAGGTTTTTGTATTCTCTCTGTCTGTCTTATATTTCTCATTTTCTCTCACATGCTTTCTCTCTCGCTTATTATTACTCATTATCTCTCATTAATTTTATTTCCTCTTCCTTTCACTCACTCCGTCTTTTCTCCCTCTTTCTCTCTCTCTCTGACACACATATACACACTTATTTTGACACACTCACTTGCTAAAACACACACACACACACACACACACACACTCGCTGACACACACACATTCAATCTCTGACACATACACTCACCAGGGATGAAGGGTACTGTAGCAATGACTCGTGCCACATCATTCCACTTCCACAGGTTGATGTCAGACCCACAGATGGACACCTGAAACACCACACACCTGAAGTGGCTGAACAGCATACTAAACCTTCCGGTACACAAGGAGGCAGCATGGCCGGTACTGCACTCGACCGCATTACATAATAGTTAACCTGACTTGATATATGGTAAAACTGACGTGAGGTTAACATGACATGAAATGACTTTACCCTATCGACCTTGATGATGACGTCAGCGGGGCCTGGGACGGGAACGGGGCGGGTGAGAAGGGTGTATCCTTCATTCTCTTTCTCCTTTAACAGGCAGGTCATCTCCTCTGGTACTACTGCCATACTGATGGAAGGAATAATAACGAAAACTGGATTACGTGAAGATTAGACAGCCCAGCTTATTTCACTTGATAATAAACACTTTAACTTTACCTGGGTGAGGGTTGGCTAGGTTACGTTAGACTACGGTACTTTAGCTTATAATAGAGTATTACTAGGATAAAACATAAAAGTAAAAACAATTATCAAAATTTCAACATTACGGCCACAGAACCTTAATCACCATGTCGAGGACAACCTATACGGATATTTCGAGCAAAAAATTTTTTCCGAAAAAATTAAATTTGCTAAAAATCTCAATACAGTTTAGGTAGTTCTCGGCATGCAGATTAAGGATCTGTGGTCAAAAATTGAAATTCTGAATATTAAGTGTCCTCATATCAATTAGCATAATAAATTATCAAAACTTCATGGTCTAGGGTACTATTTTAATAGATTAGGGTTGTTTGGTTAGCTAAGCTGCTAAGGGACTAATCTTAATATAATCCCAAAAACTTAATATACAGCACCAGATCAAACTAACCTCTGTAACTATGTGAAAATCTTGAGCAGCGTCTATATAAACAAAGAACAAATACCTTATCTGCAAAAAAAAATTACTTTAATGATGTTTTAAGCTTAACAGTACAGCTCAATGTAATAGGACCGTCGTGTGTGTTGGATACAGCCGCACAAGAGTACTGGGAGTCTGGGGCAGACGCCACCTGATGCACACACACTCTACCTTTGGACCACACACACACACACACACACCCCTTGCACTGTATATCGTTCACACACCAAACGAAATACAGCTTAGGAACATTTTATACGCCAGAGAAACATTCATATACCATTCACATAAAAAAAAATAAGTTTCAGGATTTTAAGAAGATAATCATTTATCAATCATCCACGGTTGAGGTATACCATTTTCTCTACTATTATGGTTTTTATTTCCAAGTGAGTTTTCAAAATATCATTCACATGGACACTACTAGTTGTCAGATTAACATCATGTAAAACGTCATTCACTAAAACTAACTGATAATTATTAGGATTTACCGCACAACGATAAGTCTATAACCCACATTAAATAGATAAACTTATTGATAAAACTAATATACAGTAGTATACTGTTTGTTTCACCTTAAGATTAACCACCACAGGGGGATTAGGTTAGATAAGCTTAGTTTAAGTTAGACTGATGAGGTTAGGTTCAATTTAGGTTAGGCTAGATTATGTTGGGGTAGTTTATATAAGGTGAAATAAACTGAGGGCAAATCTTTAGGTGATCCACACTAAAATTTACAGCAAGGAAAAAACCAGGTTTTATGAAGACGTCTTAATCTTAAAACTAACCCAAACTTAATGAAAAGTACTAAAGTAGGTGAGTTATTTAACCATGTTATCTTATGTTATCTCCAGGTCGTGGGTGAGGCGATATTCAGGTTCGAGGCGGCCGCCTTTAACTAGATAACATTGTTGCCGTAAAAAGTACACGAGTTTTTCACAAAAATATCGACTGCAATTGTATGTATATATATATGGGTTTTATATCTTGAAGTGTAAGTAATAAGAGTGCAGAGGTCTTATTCCAACTATATCTTGTGCTAGTCAGGCCACACCTCGATTATGCGGTTCAGTTCTGGTGCCCTTATTATAGAATGGATACCAATTCACTAGAGTCGGTGCAGCGAAGAATGACGAAAATGATTCCGGGACTTAGAAACCTTCCATATCAGGATAGGTAAAGAAACTAAACTTGCATTCCCTAGAAAGACGAAGAGTGCGGGGAGATATGATAGAAGTATTTAAGTGGGTGAAAGGAATCAATAAAGGGGATATAGATAAAGTTCTTATAATATCCGAGCAGGATAGGACTCGGAGCAACGGATTTAAGTTGGATAAGTTTAAGTTTAGGAGGGAGATAGGAAGGAACTGGTTCACAAATAGGGTGGTGGACGAGTGGAACAAGCTTAGCAACTTTGTAGTAAGTGCTGGAACGCTGGAAAGTTTCAAAAGGAGGCTAGATAGATTCATGGATGATAGAGAGTGGTAGTAACTCTCGACAGGAGCTGCCATGCACAGGCCAACCCGCCTATTGCAGACTCCTTATTTTCTTATATTCTTATGAAACAGTGCTTCGTGTCTGATCAGCAAAATTTATGAAGGTTGACACACCATGATAGTACATGCCTCCGTGGCACAATTGGTTAGCGCGTTCGGCTGTTAACCGAAAGGTTGGTGGTTCGAGCCCACCCGGGGGCGCAGTTTTGATAATGTTACTCGCATTGCTGTTAAGCGAATAATCCTGGTTGTAATGCAAGCATTCATGCGATCGCCACGAAAATATCTAAGGCAGTGTGTATACCCTTATGATGAGACACACCATGTGGCTAACCTGGCACCTGTAGAGCCACAACTCTGAAGGTCATTAGTAAGAGTACTGATTTATCGTCTACTGTGTTTTGTTCGTGGCTACATGTCCTTAAATGTCAATTCTTCAGAACATAGCGATGACTCAGAGGGTTGTCCTATGAAAAGGCAGGTGATATATAACGCAAACAATTACTAAATAATTCACAACAAATTTATCAACAGGTAAATATTTGAGAAAATCTCATATGGTATAAACTTAGAGCAGGAGCAGAGTGGCGCAGTGGAAGCGTGCTGGGCCCATAACCCAGAGGTCCGTAGATCGAAACTACGCTCTGCTACAACTGTGTTTTATTGTCTAACTCTTAATATGTTAACTTATAAGACGTACAAGTTTAATTTATAGATTCAACCTCCTTTTCACAGTGGTCCGAAACATAAGTTCATTGTCAATATTCTATATACACAGGACCTTTTCACACTCGGGTTCTTTTAATAGTAATCATCATACTAATCACAAACCTTAAAGCCCTCCCCAACCGTTAGTTGTAATCCCCAACCATTAATATTCGTTCCTCCTTCACTCATATTTCCGAGAGATGTGTCAGAGTGAACGGTGCCTGATGGTGAAACAAACTAGAGTGAACGGTGCCTGATGGTGAAACAAACTAGAGTGAACGGTGCCTGATGGTGAAACAATCTAGAGTGAACGGTGCCTGATGGTGAAACAATCTAGAGTGAACGGTGCCTGATGGTGAAACAATCTAGAGTGAACGGTGATACACTCATTTTTTATTTTACTTTTATCCTCTTCATCATTGATCGGCTCGTTAGCCGCTTGGGCGATCGGTCACGTCTCTGTCACGCACTGTTGGCAAGTACTGGGCATGCACCGGCTCCTGAATGTACCTGAACCCGCTCCAGTGTTGGTCAAGTCTTGTCTTGAAAGAGCTCACACTCGGTGCCGTCATAACACTTTCTGGCACATTGTTCCAAGAGTTCACAACTCTCACTCCGAAAAAGTTTGCCCTAACAGTTTTCTGGACTTGTGGCTTCTTCAATCTTGAGCTGTGACCCCTTGTGGGGCGAGCGTCCGCAGCTCCAAGTAAGGACACTCGACTGAGTAGTGCCCCCTGAGATGCTTAAGTAACTTACTGTATACACCTCAATTTGGTCGCCCCTTGCCCGTCTGTAGTATAAGCTAGGCAAGTTCAGGCGCTCCAATCTCTCAGGGTAGTTGAGGTGCCGAAGGGCAGGCACCAGTCTGGTGGCCCTCCTTTGAACATTTTCAACCAACTGACAGTCCCTAGCATATCTCGGGGACCAGATGGGGTGACAGTACTCCAGATGGGGAAGCACTTCAGTTCTTATATGACTTAATAATTTATTTGCCTGATTTACCTTCTTCTCGCAATGGCCCGAGAACTTCAGCTCATTGTCAACATACACACCTAGGTCCTTCTCACATTCAGTTGGGGAAGAATTTAATTGTTTGGGAAGAACGTGTACGTCATTTATGCAATTAAATTAGAAAAGTACACGCCCCCGCCATCTCTTGGGAAAAGACGCAACTAATACTATTTAAATGACAATTATCAGATTTTTCTTCAGATGGTTCGGGTAGGTAGTTTAGAGATTTATATTGATTAAATGGCATTTTTTACGTTTCTTTACAATAGTTACAGTACATATTAATGTAGTAATAGTAAACTGATGTATTTAATAACGAAATTCAATAGTAAAATGCAATATTCCTTATTTATTGAGTACGAAACATTAAAAGTGTTATTGAATACATTTTACACTCGAATTTTATACAAAAATCATGATAATTATATATTTATGCTTTGGCGACGTTAATAAGTAGTATAACTATTAAGAAGAGACGTAAATAATGTTATTTAATCAATTAAAATCGTAAAACAAGATGCCCGCGCCATCTATTGAGACAAATGTGTACTACAAAGTCTTCAACACCACGGAAGACGGAATACTGCCAGCCATCTTGGATGACGTCATATGTGGATCTCTGTTTATGAATCGCTGTTTACTCTCGTTCTCATTAGAATAAAGATTTTCGTCTTAATCCTTAAAGTTTTATTCATAAATAATAAATATTACTCTTTGTCATGTGACGTCATTTAGCTGGCAGCAAACAATAAGATAGTCTTTGGCTGGCAGTCACAACAGCAACCCAATATATAAGTTACTATCCATTACTGGGATCAGAAAACGCGGCCGCGACGTGCCCGCCCACCTGAGTTAGAATATAGAAATAGTTAGTATATAATTAATTAGTCATAATTAATTACTATATACGTCCTATTTATTTATAAACAGTCCCCCATCCATTGGTAGAACTCCCCACCAACCCCTAAGTTGTCTTCCCCAGCCAATATATATTTCCCTAACCCTTAATAGTCCTCCCCAACCTCCAATAGTCCTCACTAACCAATGATAGTACTCCCCAACCCTTGACAGTACTCCCCAGCTCTAAATAGTCTTCCCCAACCCTTAATAGTCCTCCCCAACCCTTAATAGTCCTCCCAACCCTTAATATTCCTCCCCAACCCTTAGTTGTATTCCCCCAACCCTTAATAGTTCTCCCCAATCCTTAATATTCCTCCCAACCCTTAGTTGTATTCCTCCAAACCTTAATAGTCCTCCCTAACCCTTAGTAGTGCTCCCCAACCCTGAATATTCCTCCCCAATCCGTAGTAGTACTTCCCAATCCTTAGTCGTAATCCCCAACCCTTATCATTCCCCCCTCACTCATTATTTCCGAAAGATGTATCCCTCCCCCCGTCATCTATTGAGGTACTGGCAGAAGAGAGTCCTCAACAGTAACTCATAAGCCGAGTTATTGTCATGACCGCTATTTTGGATGACGTCACCAAACCAATCACAGTTACTCTCCAAGCTGTGACGTCATTTAGCTGTTGTTCAGAGTAACACCCCTTATTATGAGTTGCTGTTGACATCTTGGTTCAGAAGACCCGGCGCGGTAGTGGTAGGAGGAGGCAGGCGTTAATTCTAGATCTCTCTCTCTCTCTCTCTCTCTCTCTACTAGATAGATTGAACGGTGTCGGGTACACACGCTAGAGTCTAGAGTGACGGGTGCCTGATGGTGAAACACTCTAGAGTGAACGGTGATACGCTCATTTTTTAATGACTGCGGAGAAGAATTAATAGTTTGGGAAGAATTTAATTGTTTGGGAAAAACGTGAATTTCGTCATTTATACAAATAAATTCTGAAAGTACACGCCCGCTCCATCTGTTGGGAAAAGACGTAATTAATATTATATAAATTACAATAAATATGTTTTTTCCTCAACAGGTGGTTCAGGCGGGTAGTTTAGAGATTTGTATTGATTAAATGACCGAATTTAATTCTCTTCTCAATAGTTACAATACTTATTAATATCGTAATAGTAAACTGATGTATTTAAAATAGAAAACGAATAATTATGTTTTAAAAAACTCTGAGGGGCATTAAAACTCATTAATTAAATTTTTATAGCATTAGAAACAGACAATTACGGAGTTAAAGAGAGTTTTATTAATGAATGGCGAGGACTATTAAATATTGGGGGTATTATTAAGGGCTAGGGAATACTTGAAGTTTTTCTTTAGTTCTTCCTCAATAGAGTATTAAAATAGATAAACTTTTGTTTTCTCTGATGAGTTATGAAATGAGATTTTTTTTCTGTTCAGTGTTTAGGGGCGATTAAGTTATTACTTACTGGACGTCAAAGCATAAATACATAAGTTTATGACACTTTCTTACAAAAGTCGAGTGTGAAATGCACTCATATTAATAATAATAATGCTTTTTAATGTTTCGTGCTCAATGAATAAGGAATATAACATATTTACTATTGAATATCGTTATAAAATAAATGCTTACTATTACGACATTAATATGTATTGTAACTATTGGAAAGAGAAGTAAATAATGTCATTTAATCAATATAAGTCTCTAAACTACCCGCCTGAGCCATCTGTTGAGGAAAAAACATAATTATTGTCATTTAAATAATATTAGTTACGTCTTTTCCCAACAGATGGCGGGGGCGTGTACTTTCAGAATTTAATTATATAACTGACGTATTTTTCGTTTTTGCCAAACAATTCAATTCTTTCACAGCTATTAATTAAGTCTCCTCCCCAGTCATTAAAAATGTATTCAGTAAACATTACTGTTCCTTCCCAACTATCAAAACCTTTCCCCAACCATTTATACGCCTCCCTGTTATTTCTTCGTCCCGTTGGAACATATGATACGCCTCCTTACTGCACATACGAAGTACAGGTAGTGACTTTGATAGATAAATTTGAAGATTAACAATATTCAAAGTTAAAGTATATATTTTTCATTTAAGCGAATTCCTAACCTAGCTTTGTAAGTTTAAGCAACGAATGTTTCTTTTTTAATTTTTATTTTTATCCTCTTCCCCACTGATCGGTACGTCAGCCGCTTGGACTGTCGGTCACATCTCTGTTGCGCACTGTTGGCAAGTACTGGGCATGCACCGGCTGCTGAGTGTATCTGAACCTGCACCAGTGCTGGTCAAATCTTTCCGTCACACTCTCTGGCAGGTTGTTCCAAGAGTTTGTAGCCTGTGTGTTTGTGATGCAGTTTAGTCTATTTTCTCTATTTTAGGTCCACATACACACTTACTTTAAGGGAGATCTTGCACTCAGGATGGGGGTGAGAAAGGAAACTCAAAATTGCCTTAACTCAACGTATATTGTATATACAATGCTGTAGGTTGCTGGAGAGTTGTTGTGTGGTTGAGGCGCTTCAGGAGAGTTGGTGTTGTCAGGTGGAGAACGCGCAGTAGAATGACCCTCTCGATGAAAATTATAATGATAATGAAGTGGCAAATCACTTTGCCATGGTAGAGGAGAGGAGAGAGAAGGAAAGAATATAAATGGGAAGTAAAGTAGTAGGGAGTGATAGCAGGTGGGCTGTCCACCTAGCTGAGTCGAGGTGATTGGTTGGGGTGGTGGTCATACACGGCAGGCGTCCGGCCGCTCAAGGGAGGCCTTGTTACATTAGTGTTGGGGCCGTGAAACATGGGTTATGGCCGCTCATTTGTTTTAGTAATTAGCCATATAAAAACGTCAAAATAGTGGACATTTTCAGTCACTGGTTTATGCGAGTCTCTAACGAATAATTAGAATTTAAGAACATATGAAAATAAGGAGTCTGCAATAGGCCGGTTGGCCTGTGCATGGCAGCTCCTGTCGAGAGTTACTACCACTCTCTATCATCCATGAATCTATCTAGCCTCCTTTTGAAACTTTCCAGCATTCCAGCACTTACTACAAAGTTGCTAAGCTTGTTCCACTCGCCCTCCACCCTATTTGTGAACCAGTTCCTTCCTATCTCCCTCCTAAACCTAAACTTATCCAATTTAAATCCGTTGCTCCGAGTCCTATCCTGAACAATTTATAAATACAGGATTTCTAGTATTGTTTGAATTTGTGAAGTCTAACTGATAATCAATATTAATACCAAATTTTATTCAGATTATGAGACTGAAATTAGTGTTGAGTTTTATCTTCGTAAGTTATACTTTATTCCTTCGTGGCACAATTGGTTAGCGCGACCTCTGACACCAGCAGGTTCCCGCCACAGTGTGAATAAATTTAACGTTCATTCATGCCACCAAATAGTGCTAGATTAGGTTAATATTTTGGTGAAATAAGTGGGAGGGAAGTCATAAATGTAGAAACAAAGAGGGAACGCGCATGCGTGCGTAGTGTCAACAAAGGCTGTAAGAGACTGCTCCTTAAAATTCGTATTTCTGATGAATTCAGCGAGTCTACCAATCCCAGCCTGTGCAGACAACTATAGTAAGACCCAGTTATCAGCACAGTGGCATATATTTTTTTTTTACTTTTGGACTTTGTCATTTTTTGGGGATAAAACATCTGGTCCTACCACCCGATCCCTCTGAGCAAAGTTTTTCAAGTTTGCGCATGCGCAATGTGATAGTGTGACGTAGCAGTGACGTCATTACCACTCCACCTGACTGCAGTGTTGCCAACGTGCCCTATGCCCGCCGTTAAACGCTCCCGTTCGTTGGAAACGGCGGCAGTAGGTGACAGTGATGCTGACGACTTTCTTCTTGAAGACACGTCAAAGAAGAAGCAGAAACCTCAGA